GTAAACTGCCACGAGGAGAAGTTGTAACGGTACGTCTCAAGCATAGATGCACAAAACAGTTTGATACATGATAACAAATAATAACTCATAATTAGGTCGTCATCGTCCGTAACATCCGTAATAAAACATTCGACATTAATCGTGATCCGTGGTCGTAATAATCGAGTTCGTGATCCGTGGTCGTAACAATCGAGTTCGCACAATCGGGGTCATGACATATTAATCGAGTAACAATCGAGTTCGTAATAAAACAATCGAGTAACAATCGAGTTCGCACAATCGGGGTGATAACACATTAATCGATGGTAATCGTTATAGGATCGTAATCGTTACATACTCGCAGGCGCACAAGCTTGCATAAATTCGCTCTGATAGCCACACGCCTATACAACAAAACAATTTTCAACAATCCAAAAGCAAGTGTACCTATTTTTGACAGCTCACTCAGCCTCATCGAAAAGCGCCTTACACACGTAGTGCCCGGTACATATCAGGCACCTCCCACCCAGGTAAGATGTTAATGCTATTGTGTCTATCTACCCTGGAAATGTAAAAACCCTCCTTCACCTTTCGTTTACCCCAGTTCGTTTCATAATCCAAAATTTTAACTTCGTCCCATTTGATAGAGTGCCCTGTCTCTAGCACATGTTTAGATATCCCTGAGTGATCCCGGTTTCCGTTTGCTATAGCTCGTTTGTGTTCCGATTCCCTCGTCCTTAGCTTTCTCCCGGTTTCTCCTACATAAATTTTTCCGCACTGACACTTATACTGATAGACCAGCGCAGCCTTCTCCTTCACCCCCAACCTGTCCTTAGGTTTGACGAGTCTAGCACTAAGGTTGGCTGCAGGCCTCGTGCTGACCTTCGCGTAGGGTCGAAGGACGCGCGTTACCTGTTCAGTCACCCCCTGGATGTAAGGGATACTTACATAAGCCCGGTTGTCCTCTTCCGCTCCCCTAGCTGTCCGTCCGGAACCCTCCCCCTCCCCCATCCTAAGCCGTTCTTTATTCTTTACCCGCCTCTGAATACGTCGCACCAATCGCTTGGGGTAGCTGTTCTTCTCTAGTGCCCGTTCTATTTTCCCTGTCTCGCGTTCCTCGTCTTCAGGTGTTGTCGTGAGCCGTGATGCCCGTGTGAAAAGTGTCTGTGGGACTGATGCTTTGTGTTGTGTGCTGTGGTGTGACACACAACACAAAGCATCAGTCCCACAGACACTTTTCACACGGGCATCACGGCTCACGACAACACCTGAAGACGAGGAACGCGAGACAGGGAAAATAGAACGGGCACTAGAGAAGAACAGCTACCCCAAGCGATTGGTGCGACGTATTCAGAGGCGGGTAAAGAATAAAGAACGGCTTAGGATGGGGGAGGGGGAGGGTTCCGGACGGACAGCTAGGGGAGCGGAAGAGGACAACCGGGCTTATGTAAGTATCCCTTACATCCAGGGGGTGACTGAACAGGTAACGCGCGTCCTTCGACCCTACGCGAAGGTCAGCACGAGGCCTGCAGCCAACCTTAGTGCTAGACTCGTCAAACCTAAGGACAGGTTGGGGGTGAAGGAGAAGGCTGCGCTGGTCTATCAGTATAAGTGTCAGTGCGGAAAAATTTATGTAGGAGAAACCGGGAGAAAGCTAAGGACGAGGGAATCGGAACACAAACGAGCTATAGCAAACGGAAACCGGGATCACTCAGGGATATCTAAACATGTGCTAGAGACAGGGCACTCTATCAAATGGGACGAAGTTAAAATTTTGGATTATGAAACGAACTGGGGTAAACGAAAGGTGAAGGAGGGTTTTTACATTTCCAGGGTAGATAGACACAATAGCATTAACATCTTACCTGGGTGGGAGGTGCCTGATATGTACCGGGCACTACGTGTGTAAGGCGCTTTTCGATGAGGCTGAGTGAGCTGTCAAAAATAGGTACACTTGCTTTTGGATTGTTGAAAATTGTTTTGTTGTATAGGCGTGTGGCTATCAGAGCGAATTTATGCAAGCTTGTGCGCCTGCGAGTATGTAACGATTACGATCCTATAACGATTACCATCGATTAATGTGTTATCACCCCGATTGTGCGAACTCGATTGTTACTCGATTGTTTTATTACGAACTCGATTGTTACTCGATTAATATGTCATGACCCCGATTGTGCGAACTCGATTGTTACGACCACGGATCACGAACTCGATTATTACGACCACGGATCACGATTAATGTCGAATGTTTTATTACGGATGTTACGGACGATGACGACCTAATTATGAGTTATTATTTGTTATCATGTATCAAACTGTTTTGTGCATCTATGCTTGAGACGTACCGTTACAACTTCTCCTCGTGGCAGTTTACTTTTTGGTAGACATGTTTGAAACGTATTGTCTTGTGTTCTAATGCATTTAAAAAGCAGGCTGATGAAGGAGGCAGCAGCCCCCGAAAGCTACCGATCATATACATATTACTGGTGTCGAATAATTCGTTTCTGAATATTTACCATGTCCCAGTACAACAATTCCATATTTAAAATAGATCCGATTTCAGAAGTACCCACAGCGAGCAAAGGTTTGTGTACAGCATGCGAGATGTTAATGTCCATGCTTCAGGAGTTAACTGAAACTTGTCACTAAATTCGTCCCCCTGATACCTACTAGATTGTGCAACTCTGTTTTTGTCCCTCTAAATGTGACAGCAACAAGTGCCTGTTTGACATGCCATTAGGATAGCTGCTGCTCTTTATTTGGCACGCGGTTTCCATACAGAGTCGCGGACGGGAGGTGACCTCACCTCTCCTATATGACGTCACTTCTGGCCCAGTTTTGGCCTGGCGGTCAGACGGGTGTTTTTCGGTGTTATTTCGCAGTAGCACGCTCACAATGCTTCGTCCGTGCGTCCCCTACCCAGGCGGATTTTTTTTTTTTTTTGCTTGCCAAGCCACCTACCTATAAGAATGCTACAGAAAAGACTCAATGGGACTGTTCAAGCACATGCCATCTTTGCCGTGTATGGTTTTACAGTAATGGAGTTATTTGTGCATACCATCACTGAACTCACTCGTAGCAAAAGTATACCTCAGAGAAGGTCACCTATAGGGGAGAGTGGGGTAATTTGGCCGGTGGTGTAAATTGGCCGCCCCCACCTGTACCATGTCTCATAAAAGTGAGTGAAATAACTCTAGTCTCTATTCATTTGTCATGGGTAGAAATAACTGGAGGACAAATGTCAAAACTTTGCCCCTCGTAGTTTTATTCAAGATTAATAAAACGTTAATTTCATTAGAAAATGGTAACTTTTGCTTCTGTTTACAAAGTTGTATAACATGTAGTATTTTGGCTAAAAAACGAATTCAGACATCATAGCGCCATTCTTGGGGGTGTTCAGCGGTTCCAAGAGTAATTTCATCTAATTCCGTATAGCCGTGATGACTTTATAGACAACAGTTTTCAGAATGGCAATATGGGGTAATTTGGCCGGGACTAGCGGGGCAACTTGGCCGGTGCGCTCATGGTCACTATGCTAGGACGGCCGAGTTTTCATGGTCAATTGTACCATAAATGACATGATTCATGACCAACTTTGACTACTTTGATGCCTTACTTCCGATTGGTCAACTGTAAGAGCATGTGACGTCACCAAAGGTTACCAAACGTTTTTTGCTAATAAATCCTTACATAAAAATGGTACAGCCGCACAAATGGTCTCATTCTGTTCAGTTCGCCAAGGCGCATCGAATGATATGCATGATGACCTTGAAATCACGTGACCTTGAGGTCAAGCGACCTGAGGTAACGTGACCTCAGGTCAACCTTTGACCTTGACTTCTCGAGGTCAACACATATATGTTTCGATGCGGACTGACGAGAGAATTACGATGGTACTCGAAGTTTTGGCCTAGCTTGATTACTTCAAAAGTTATTCGTAAAAAACTGTCTTCGCATCTAGAGCCGCTAATTTGGCTATTTTGACCCCTGTGACCCCTGAGTCAACCTCCAAAATGCGGCAAATGCGTCATAGGACACACGTCATTGCTGAATCTGAAGCTGACTCGCAATATAAGAGTAAATCCCGACCGCAAACTAACACCGGCCAAATTGCCCCACACCCCCGGCCAAATAACCCTGCTAGTGGGGCAATTTGGCCGCCTTGCAGACCTTTGTAATACGTCACAATTTCAATACAAGTAATTACTCTATCATTTCAAGTTTACTGTCCAGTAAAGTAAAATGAATGCGACACCTGCCAGCATTGAGAAAATGCAGAAATGTGTCGTCAATTTTAAGCTGCATCGTTTTCTAAAAAAAGCGGCCAAATTACCCCACTCTCCCCTATTCTGCGATGGCATTAGCTTTAATATTCAGCCAAATTAATGGACTGATATAATAAGTTAACTGTAGATTTATAACTGCTTAGTTTTAACTGACGTATTATTCACCAAGTCATCTGTACAAGGCTATTATAGACGACCTAAAATATGCATAGCATGTTCGTCTACATAGATAATTATCCTTAGAATTAAAAACACTAGCGGCCCCGTTTAAAGGAACATTATCACCATTTCAAAATGCACTTAAGAGGCCTTCATTTTATTCTAATTTTACCAACAGGGATGCCTCTGTGGATCAGCGATTGCTCTGCAGTTTTGGATCGCCTAAGCCCGTTATGCAAACTCAGCGACAAGTGAAGATAAGATTGATTGCCGACGTCAAAGTGCAGGTCTCTTCGTTAACGGATGATTTACATTTTATCGGGAGTATAGATGGGGTAGTTGAGAGTCTAAGCATTGCTCAGCTGTGCGCCATTTCGGTGACATTCCAGCCCGGATCAGTGGAGCCCCCCCCCCCCCCCCACGCTAATGCGCCTCCAGGGTAGCCGGGGGGGAGGGGCGCAGGTCGCGGCGTGCAACTCAGCGGCCGTAGGGGGGGGGGAGAGGGAGAGGCAGATCGGAGGAGCTGATACGGGGACAATGGTGACGGTGGCCAGTCGGCGGTCTCAGCGGCCGCTCAGTCGCCGACGGGCTGTGCTGACGGCGGGTCGCCCCTCCCTCCCTCCCAACCCTCCCTTCTCTCTCCCGGCCGAATTGGACACAGTGCAAGGTGAGTGACCGTGGGCAGGGCAGTCGTCACCGCAATGAGTGATGTGGTGCCGTTTCCATGCAAATGCGATAAAAACACACACAATAACTATGAGACTATTTCGATAATACAAATCTAGGATAGGATTAATTAACATATGAATGCCTTTCAAAGGCGTCAATACACCTAATTGGCTGCTACTTTTAGCTGCAAAGGTGTTTTTCCAAATCCCTAGCATAGTAAGCAAAAATATAATTGTCTTGAAAATGAAATGTGTATAGGTTTATAGCTAAAGTTTTTTTCTAGATGTGTTGAATTTTGTAGGGATCTTCATATCAATTATTTCGTTTGTTTCATTATATTCTCTCAATCTGCCAGGAATGTGCCCTTCTTTATGGTTCCACGCAAACAAAATTGAAAGATGGCAATCAAATATCCATCAGAAATTATTTTAAGCTTGCGTTCAACTTTTCAGTCAGGCATTAAAAAGGTGATCAGACATCACCAAGAACAAGGAGAGCGCATGGTTAGAGAAGAAGCATTGTCAAATTAAACGATGTTTTTCATAGAAGTTTATAGGTAAAAAGTCATTTATTTACCTACTTCCTTTTTATGCTTCCAATGAAGGAAGGCCATTCTTCAAAAGTTAATAATAAGGTGTCAACACTGTAAATGTATATTACGGAAAGGAATGCACTGCTACAAAGACGCAAAGACACGCCAGAAAGACGGTTAAGCATTACCCGGATATATGTACATATGCGAGCGTGAGTGCGTTATCAGAGCGTCAGTGTCCCCGCGATGCTATCGACCGGAATATGTCCGTTGGTGCACTGTGTGGGTGCATGCACGTGCAATCATGATTGTGCATTAGCTGTTTCTGCCTACTGGTCTCTGGATTTTGATTTTGTGGCCCTTATCATGTTTTTGCATCTACACGTATGCTTATCCACAAATTTCAGACACCCATGCCTACAGCATACCCCCTATTAATTCCTGTTTTCCGTTAGGTATATGTCGACTTATACGCCTGTTCTGAACAGGTAGCATTTGTTAGCCCTGTTTCTGCTTTGTAACTTAAACCTACTATGCACATGACTTTGAAGAATCATCCCTTTTTGTATCTAAATGGTCGTTACCAGTACTCAAATGCGTTCAATGCTGTTCAATTATTCAAAGCTCACCATAAGCTAGCTGTTTAAAAAACACATCAAATATAAGTTTACCCAAGTGCATTGAAACAAACAAATGCACTGTCCCCATAAAAGCAAGTTAGCACTTAGTAGGAAGTCCTCATGCATGTCAATACATGAGCATTGTGCATTGTGCAATGACTGCAATGTGCATTGTGCAGTGTGCAGAAGTTAAATGCTTGACTAGCGGTCCCTTTTAGTCCGTTTCGTACCGCCATATTTTCCCCATCCGGCAAGAATATCGGCAGGTTTGGAAGACGCATTTTACTCAGGTTATAATCGTGATCGCCGAATCTTTTTGTTAGAATTCGTGCTTAAAGCATTTATGCATTATGCAATGCTCGCTCCCGAGCGCTCAAATTTCCACTGTCATGGCCAAGATTTCATCGTTTAGACCGTCACGCATTTCTCGATCAGATATGTTTGCTGATGTGATTGGACAATTTGGACGGACTATGAAATCATTAGGTTTATACAAACCTATATGGTGCAGAGAAGATAAAGAAAAACAATTTTATGTGCGTTTTATAAATTCATCTCGATCTTATAAATGTTACAGGGAGTATGCGATTTCAGTTAGTTTGCAACGACCCTAGGGTGGTTGTAACCTCCCTGAACGATCAGTTTGTTTGCAACGACCCTAGGGACGTTACAAAATAACTGCTCGTTCCGGGACGTTGTAACGAAACTAGGGTCGTTGCAACCTCCCTAATTAGTATGCAACGAACCTAGGGTTGTTACAAAATAACTAGGGAGTTTAACCCGCGACCTGGTGGGGGGGGGCTTTTTTTTGCCCCCCCTCCAGACTTTTCAATATATCTCCAGAACCGCTGCGCCGATCGTCACCAAACTTTCAGTACCCTCCCGGACATCAATTTTACACATTGTGACCAAAAATTTTTCCAAAACCTATGATACGTTGGCCGGAAATGACGTCAGAGTGACGTCATGTTCTGCCGTTTTCGACCCAAAAAAGGGTTTCGCGGGCAGAGCTGTCAGGCCTATAGCTTTGCAAATACAGAAAAATGATAGAAACATAAAAGTTGAAGAATCGACAGGGCTACAAAACTGCTATCTCGGATTTTTGAAATTTTTGGTTTTTGACCCCCGAAAATCAAAAAATATATTTTTTGGATATAATAATCGAAAAATCCAAAAAGTTTTTTGAATTCTGCAAAAACCGGAATATATGTGATAGTCCTTACGGCCTTCCATCCACATACCAAATTTGAGATTGATACCTCTTTTTTTGGCGAAGTTATAGCGAAAAAACTGTTCAAAATTGATGACGTCAAATTTTCAAACTCAATTTTTAGCAATTCTAGACCCCGTAGCGCAAAACAAAGACCACCATTAGACTCCCCGTGACGAGCTGCATCGAATCAATACCCATTTTATGCAAAACTATCAACTTTAAAATTTGACCTTTTTTGGCCTGACCTTGACCTGACCTTGACCTCAACTTCACCAGAAAGTGACCTAAGCCGTACCTGATAGTCTTATAACCAACACCATTGAGTTGGAAATGAAAAATTGGCCATAAACATGCATCACACAGCCTTAGTAAAGTTGGGCTCATGTGACCTGACCTGTGACCCTTGGTGACCTGACCTGTGACCTGACCTGGTATTGTCAGTGACCTCTAATAGCAACATATCTACTAGGCAACTGACGCCCTATCGCTGATTCTCGACAAAATGCGTTTTCCTCGGTGTTATAGCGCATTCCCTAGAAGACCCGTGAACGGTGAAACATTTCATCTTTGACCTGACCTGTGACGTCATCGGTGACCCCTAGGTCAATGAAATTTGGTTTCCTTCGACAAATTTGACAGGCCTTTCGAACGCCTTTTGAATTTTGCGGATCCGTCCAGTAGTTTCGGAGATACGAGGGGGGGGGGGGGCAAAAAATAGCCCCCCCCCACCAGGTCGCGTTATAAACAGACCCCACCAGGGCGCGGGTTAAGAATTCATCGAGTCTCGTTTCACAGGAGGGCCGTCAACAATCTTGTCCAATGAAAATCTTGTTCAATCTAGTTCATTTAAAAAGAAAAGGAGAACAAAACAATTTGAACATGCAGCTCAGGAGTATTTCACGACGGCCATCTAGTATACATTTTGTGCAGATTAGGTGCACATTTGGTGCAGATTTGCTCAAATTAGATGGGCATTCGCCAGAAAGCCCTTCGTAAAAACGGCTATTATCCGCTCGTTTCCAGTCTTTTTGTGATTGTAAACGTTCAAACATGTGAAATGATGGTGGTCCCATGCATTATGGTGGGTGTCAAGGTCACGTGAAGGTCAGGTCAATGTCATTGACCTTTGATGACCTTAGTTCACTTCTTCTGGGTTCATATACCTATTAATAGGCTAGTTTTTGGAGCTGATTTCGAATTTAGCACCCATTTGAACATTTACGAAGTAATTTTGGCGCCTTCGTACCATGTCACGAAGCTGTCAGTGGTGGTTGACACCTATATGGACAGCTTGCAAGACGCCTACTGGTTGACCTGACCTGATCTGACCCGGCCTGTCCTAAAAACATCAAGACATCAGCGGTGATTAAAGCTAACATGAAATGCGTGATCAGCGCCCCGAAAAACCTCGTAACGACCGAACTCCAAAGTTTTAACAGGTCCCGATTTTCCGGACTTTTGAGTCACTGACCTGACCTGGAAGGTCAACCAATAACCTAGCCCCGCCCTGTGCGATTGCAGCTAGCAAAACACCAATAAGGGCGAGAGTTAACTCCGCAGGACCTGTTGGTTTTCTACATACGCGCCGTCCGGGGGAGGGTTGGTACGACCCCCTCGTCGTTTTTCGCCCCTGTTGGAGTTAGAGCGTCGCGGAAAAAACGAGCGTGTGTGCCGTTAGGAGACACAGCAAATAGTGCCGACTTTAAGGTCTCAGGTCAACCAGTGACCTCTGAGGTCAGGTCAAGTGACCCAAGACACGGGTTCGGTTTTTGATTAATAACTTCTTAAAAAAAAACAGTAGCAGAGCGCGATTTTAGCATCAACGTACTCGCCTTGCTCAGGCGCGTCAAATGGTATATTTTTGTCCGGGTGAGGTCAACTTGAGGTGTTGACGGTCAAGGTAAGGTCAGAGACCCCTAGGTTGCGAAATTGGTCAAAGGAGGTCATGTTGCATAGTATTCGATTCGGTAGGTCTTCCTCAGTCCATAAGCGGCTTGACCGACTCGCTAGCAATTTGATCGGGAGTTATTGAGGAAAAGCTCGTATGACCCTAGTGACGTCATAAATGACGCAACGACAACAATGCAAAATTGAAGCATCTAACCTTGCAAGGAGTGCATAAAATCACGGTCGGTGTGCTTGATATAGTTTGAGATCGTTCCCGGCGGCAGAATAGCAGTTTTCATTTTTCTCAATTGACTTACTTACACCAGCGACAGCTTCGTAGCAAGTTGCATTGGCACCACAACTATACGTACTTCTCAAATGTTTCAACGAATGCTGGATTCGAAATAAGCTAAAAAAAGCCCTTTAAATCGTAAAATTTGAAACAGTCACCCGAAGTCACCAAACGTCAATGACCTTGACCTGACCGACAACTGAAAGTCAACTTGAAACCCATCATGATGCATGGGACAACCATCAGTTCACATGTTGGCACTTTTATATGTAATCACAATAGAAGTCTGGAGTGGAAACGCAATTTTATGTGCGCTCACACGGCAAATCATTTCGGTCTGCCATGGCATGGATGCCATGGTCCCAGAAATCAGATCAAAGGTCAAAGGTCATTGTTTTCAGGATCATGAACTGTATAGGAAATGTGTAACCAGTAACGTAGATAAGTTCGAGGACACTCAAAGTTTCGTCGCGATTGGCCGCTTTTAGCGCGAGATAATCGCGAAAAAACTAACGAGGGGTTTTATCCGACCCGCACCACTAAAAGTGTGAGGTGAGGGATAACCCGCACACGGATAGCGACGGATATCCATCACACCTACCCCAGTAACTATATTTTCTGCATGTAAACATATGCTGGCGATATAATGCAGCCAAAATTATCACAGTTAGGTGCTTTGTGCCGGGCACCACATATACTCCTGAGCTGAATGTTCAAATTTTGTTCGCCTTTTCTTTTAAACTGAACTAGATTGAACAAGATTTTCATTGGACAAGATTGTTGACGGCCCTCCTGTGAAACGAGACTCTATGAATTTTTTAACTCCCTAGTTATTTTGTAACAACCCTAGGTTCGTTGCATACTAACTAGGGAGGTTGCAACGACCCTAGTTTCGTTGCAACGTCCCGGAACGAGCAGTTATTTTGTAACGTCCCTAGGGTCGTTGCAAACAAACTGATCGTTCAGGGAGGTTACATACACCCTAGGGTCGTTGCAAACTAACTGAAATCGCATACTCCCTGTAACATAAATACACAAACTCATGTATTTTCTAGCTAGGTTTATTTCTTATAGGTCCACATTGCAGATGGTTCAATTTGCACACAGTCGCTTCTCATGCAGCGACAGCCTGTCCTTTATGTCCTCAATTCACTCCCCGTGCCCACTGTGTCCACAGATGACGATCACGGAAGGCCTGGTGCCACTACTGCTTCTGCTGGTCTCCCCACTGGTTGACGCCGAGTTCCCGGGGACAATTTTCCCCAGTGGAGCGGGCAGACAGTTCGGCGCCCGTCTCATACCTCGCAGCTTCAGCGTGCATAACTCCTACCCAGCTGTGCCCTACGGGGCTCGGTTTGGCGGAGTGGTGGGGACATACGGAGCAGGTGGAGCCTATAATGTCAACGGAGGCTATAACAACATCGGAGGTTACAACAACATCGGAGGAGGATATAACAACATCGGCGGCGGCTACAGCACCGGCAGCGGCTATGGCAACTACCTGGGGTCGGGCGGAACAGTGGCCAGCAGCGAATACTCGATTAACACAGCCAACAGCGCGCTACGTGCCAAAAACGTGCACGCCTCGGCGCCGACCGGCAGCTACGAGAACAACCGCCTGGGTGACGACTACGGGCCCGACAACTCGAACTTCCAGTACCGGTATATGGTATCCGACCCGCTGACCGGTGACGCCAAGTCGCAGCACGAGACTCGCCGTGGCGACGCGGTGACGGGCGAGTACCGCGTGCTCGAGGCCAACGGTCTGATGCGCGTCGTCTCGTACACGGCCGACGACGCGCACGGGTTCGTGGCGCACGTGCGCTGGGAGCCGGCTGGGCGGCCGCACGGCCCGGCCGTGTCGCACCAGGAGGTGTCGCAGCAGCACTCTCACTGAAGGACGGCAGGGCTGGGTCTCGGAGAGCGAACAGCGGCGGTGATCGGGCCCATCCCACCCCAGGGAATCGCAGGCTCGGTGCGAATAAAACTAATACCTAGTTGATAGTTTGCAATCAGCAAGTATCTGTTATATTCTCGGAAATATTCAATTATAATGTGGACTAAATAAAAGACACATTGCCAATAGTGAAAAGCTGTGTTATACCAGTGCATGAAGATGAAACTATGCCCACGCATACGCCAAAGACGTGCCCTTCGGTCATGACCGTTATGACGGGGACGCTACCCGATCGTTGATGAAGCTTATTAATATAGCTTATACATATGTAAGTACTTACGACTTGCCTATGATTATACAGATATGGTAACCCACTTTACATAAATCAAAGGTTTGTTTTTCTTTCATATAGTACATGCAAATAGTAACGCCTCCCTATTGCGCCTAGGGAGCTCAATGGAGCACAAGAAGATAACACAGCAGCGGTTACGCTCATTTTACTTCGCAATAGAAGCGACTGACCAACGACGTTGTGATGCTCCCGTTACCGACTGTGCTATGCAAACTACGTCTGTCAATTAATTGTATTTATTTTTACGAGTATTATTGTTTTTGCTGCAACCACCAATCATTAGCCGTTTTCACGATGGCCATCTGGTTCACAGTTGGTGCACATTTGGTGCAGATGAGGTGCAGATTTGGTCAAATTAGGTTCAGTGTATCTCTTAGAAGCTATCAGCTAGGGTTGCACTAATTGCTTATATGCCTCCTTTGTCATATTATCAGAGAGTATCATCGATTAAAACACTGAAATAAATTCATAAAATGAAGATATTTGCTGTAAAGGAGATTAGGTGCAGATTTGGACAAATTAGGTACATTCGCCGGATAGCCCGTCGTGAAAACGGCTATTATGTCGTCTAAAAACACTGTTACTTGACCTCTGCAATCCGTCTTTTGTCGATCATCAAAGATGGAAGGACTTTGCGATGTCAGCATTACAGGCCTTTAAAAGAGAAGGGAACTTAGGTGGCATCCATTGCCAGACCCATCGGGTCGTAACTAAGCTGTAAATACCGCAGATTCCTAGTTAATACACAGGCATGAAAGTGCTGTGGTATGCTTCCCGATAAATAACCATTGCTCGTTATAAATCAGGTGCTACACACGATTCGAGGCACGCTGATCGAACCCAAGTAACTCGAGACAGAAAAAGGAAACAGAAATTGTTAGCTTTACATTGATAAATACATACGATAAATATCAAAACGTGAGATTTAAGGCAACGAAAGGCAGTCAATAGCGGCATGTATCCAGAAAGTTGTGCCATGTGTATTGTGTAATATTGCCGCGCTTAAAACTACACTGTACGCAACTTTATGTCTCTTAGCTGTTTAGGAACTTTCAATAAACGACAGTGGGACAACGGTGCGCACTGCGCATGCACAGCACACTCTTACTTTATTATCGGCGTTATACAGGCTAGCTCAAAAGGCCCCTTGATACGATTTTTGCATTTATAACATGACAAATGATTAGACGAAACGTTGCGACTATATAGCGTGGACAGGACCTGTTGGAATTTATTTCCATACACCGATTTAATCGTGATTGGCAGCTGCGTTCTGCACGGGCATAAGCCGGTGGCTGCAGCGGCCCTTATCTGGGGAGGTCACGTTTAGGGTGTGGCGACCCTCGGTCTGCTGAGTTTCAGATAACCATTCCACAGCAGGAAGGACAACTTGACTGTACTGCACGATGTGTCCCTCGTTTTCACTGTGCTAGGTATGCTCATAATTCGTTAAAGTTTATTCAACGTTTCCCTCTAAAATCAATTTTGACGGCGTGCACTGTGTTGAATTACGGATTAGGTACAACTTCCTCCTATCCCGAGTAAATGTGAATAAAAAACAACTGCATGTCTCATTAAAAGCCGGTAAACGATACTAAAAAATAAAATATACGGTTCACATTCACATGCGTCATTACTTTCAAGTATCAAACGAGAGTATTGCAATGTATAATTTATAGTGCCAATTGCTTCATGCGTCCTTGAGGTTCATACATTTTCCACAATATGTCAAAGTCCAATCACGACTGTCGATACTGTAGAAAGCTCACTGGCGTTTCCTCCTCCTGTGCAGGCGGCCGGTTCTCTCGCGGCAATAACTGATAAGGAGTTCTGGCCGTGGTTCCGGCTGCCGCGGAAGGGCCGGTGCTCAGCGTGCAGTTTCCGCTCCGCACCGTTCGCTCGAGTCGTGACCGGGCGGTGCCGAATGCAGTGTGGGAATCGCCGGGTCTCCCAGGCAGCAGTGCCACGGGGAACTGAGCAGTGGGCACGAGGGTCCACCAGCGCGCGTGCAATGCTCAATAGTCAGAACAATTACCGTTTCAGCCACTTAACCCTCGCCCGTATGGGAGGGGGGGGGGGGGTCGAACGGAACCCCCCATGGTTTTTCGCGAATAACTCGCGTAAAAAGCGGCCGATTGCGACGAAACTTTCAGTAACCTCGCGTTAATCAATTTTACACCTACCCTGAAATTTTCGTGACCCTGACTCTAATGACCTTTGACCTGTGACCTAGTTTTCGAGACCATGTTTGGCCGGAATCGCGATTCGGCGTATGTCGGCTCGCATTGGCCGCGCGTTTGCAGCCTTTTCGTGGTTTCAAGCGTTCAAACATGTGATATGATGTTGCCCCCATGCATAAGGGTGGGTGTCAAGGTCACCTGAAGGTCAGGTCAGGTCATTGACCTTTGGTGACCTCGGTTCACTTTTTTCGAGTTTGACATGTTTCTAGGCCAGTTTTTGGAGCTGAAATCGAATTTAGCAACCATATGAACATTTACGAAGTAGTTTTGGTGCCTTCGTAACATGTTACGAAGCTGTCAGAGGCGGTTGACACCTACTAGGAATACCCGGCAGGACCCCTACTGGTTGACCTGACTTGACCTGACCCGACCTGGACTAAATGCATAAAGACATCATCTGTGATCAAAACTAACATGATATTCGTGATCAGCGCCCCGAAAAACCCCATAGCAGCTACACTTTACGACGTTCTAACAGGTCCCGATTTTCCCGACTTTTGGGTCATTGACCTGACCTGCAAGGTCAACCAATGACCTAGGACCTTAAAATTAGGTATCATCGGCTTCCTCTCGTCACGGGCAACACGCTCGTTTTTTTTCCGCGAAGCTCTAGCTCGATCAGGGGCGAAACGGCAAGGGGGGAGGTCCAACGGACCCCCCCCCCCTTATACGTTCGCGGCTGGAAAAACACCAATACGGGCGAGGGTTAAGCTTCTTGATGCATTCCCCATTTCAAACCGTTTAATTTCATACACCTAATCCGGCGCTAAGCAGCGAATAAACATTGTATTTTTATAAATAGATTTTCATTCTTTCATTCTGCATGCGTATTAAATAGCCCTGTATCGTATGGGAAAACTTGCACTTTACAGTAAAAAAATGACTCGTAATGGTCCTGTCTGATATAAAGTGATATGATACTGGATACATAAGTAAAGCATAAGCCCTAAAAAAATAAGTTATTTACCTACCTTACGTAAGTTAAAAACGTCAAAATCACCTTTGCAATTTGCATCTTATAAATGCTTATGCTATTGTAACAAATAACACCCGCAGTTCAACAATGCATTACTGGAACCCGGGTGACGAATGGTTAAAAAAAAATCTTATCTTGGGCCTTGGCTTAATTTTAAGAAGCAGAAGTCATTCCAGCCAAAGAAGTGTAGGTATAGGTATAAATTTTATCGTGAATTATAATGAACTAAATATGCTTATTGCAAATGACGCACTGTACCTCCTCACTATGCAAGCTGCGGTGTTTTTCATACATACATTTCCATTGCGTGCTGTGAGGAGTGAAAGGATGATTTGATTTAGAGGCGATAGATCACGCACAGTGTACCTATCATGGGCCAGATCTGGAGCCCGACCGAAATCCCACCGGACTGACGAGATCTGCTGGTAAGGCAGGCCTCACACGCTGTGACAGGTCACTGCCCAGCACGGGTCTCTCTCATACCCAGTCCATCGTGCCACTGACCGGGAGTCATCGCCCGGTGCGAGGGTCCCCCACCTGTAGCGCGCCGTCCTCGGAGGCTCACTTTGGCCATGGCGCACCTGCTGAGCGGTGGTCTGTCCCGCCTAGTGGCGGTGGTCGCCTTATTGACCGGCGCCGCGCTCGGTGTCACCGAGGACCCCTGTCCAGAGACCACCGGCCTTCGCCAGTCGCCTATCGACCTGAACCTGTGCGCCGACACGCGTCAGCCGGCCCAGGAGCCGCTCAAGGTGTCCAACTTTGACCAGACGCCGGCGACGATGACGCTGACCAACACTGGTAAACAAGTGTTTGCTGACATCACGTGGGCGGTGGGCAGCCGGCAGCTGCCCCAGATCAGCGGCGGTCAGCTCCCCGGAGTGTTCGTGCCTCTCGGCTTCATCCTGCACTGGGGCGCCAACCTCACCTCGGGGTCTGAGCACAGCGTCAACGGCCGCTTCTTCCCAGCCGAGCTGTACCTGCTCTGCCGCAACATCCTCTACACCAGCAACGAAGAGGCTCACCAGAACATCGACGGTCTCGCCGGCATTACCGTCTTCTTCGAGCACCGCGACCTGAAGATCTTCCGACGGCGCGGCCTCGCCATGCTGGCTCCCGAGCTGGCGAGCATCCGAAACGCGTCTTCCAGCGTGCGGGTGGCTGCGCCGCCGAGTCTCCGCAGCCTGCTGCCCTGGAGCCTGCAGCGCTTCGTGACGTACCGCGGCTCGGCCACGGCGCTGCCGCCGTGCCCCGAGTCGGTGACCTGGGTGTCGCTGCTGACCCCGGTGCCGGTACTCGCCATCGAGCTGCAGCAGCTGCGCCAGCTGGAGGACGCCGAGGGAAGGCCTCTGGAGAGCAGCGTGCGCCGGCCGCAGTTCCCCCTGAACGGGCGCACCCTCTACACCAAGGGAGTGACGCCCATCTGCGTTTGAGCGTGACGCACATCCACCTACTCTGTGTCAGAGCGTGGCGCCAATATGTGTGTGAACGTGATAAGATAATAACATCGGAAAATAAATGTACAATTCTAAGATCCGAATTAGATTTGTGCCAGCTAGGTAATGCATGCTTTCCCGGCCCAGTCCCGGTGCATCCGAAAAACACAAAACTTCCTATCGAGTCCCACCAAACGCTCGTCCCCCGGCTCGCTCACAAGCTGCGGAAAGGCGAGCCACTCCATTTTAGTCGCTTCTTTGTTCTGGGACCTCAAAATTTTTCCAATGCCATGGCACTGCCGGCTAAAACAAAAGATATCAAATCAACAGTAGGTAGGTATAGGCGCCTATAAATTTTTACCCCGACTGTACTTCCTTCTCCTTGAGGGAAGAATGGCCGGTGGCGGCCCCGTGGCCCGTTGCCTTGTAAGGTTGCTACGTGAGACACATTAGCAAAGCTCACAGCTATTCTCGCAATTCGTATAGGCCAAAGAGAAAATGAGTACCTTTATTGCAGCCACTGAACTCTATGCAGCTCTTGCCTTCACTGTAGGTATTTGTCTTGGCATTTGCATCTCTATATTTGCATCTCTTCTCTGTGCTACCATATGCCAAGCATAAAGGAAACATGATGAAAATACTTTCCGCGATCAAATCAGCGATTTCCGATTCTGGCGTCAGAGGTGTTGATAACTGCATGATCGCATACCGTTGTGCAATTCGCAACATAAAACTATGATGCTAGAGCTCGGAACATTATCAACTTGGTACTCACTCTGCGAAGTGTCAGCCATACGAGAAGAGGTCCTGAGAATCCATCGCCAACTAAAGTGAAATTAGTAGCACTAGTCTGCTGCTTATTTGGCGCAGGTAAGACGTGGCAATTACCGGTGCTAAATAGAAGTGCACATCAATGCACATGTTCTTTTTGAAGCTAGGTGGGCTATGTCGGGCACGTGAATTTTTCATTGAAGTGTTGTTGATTTAATTTCACATGTTTGAGTGTTTTTGACCGGTAGCTAGCACTCATATGTCAATCAAATTAGTGATAGCATTGATAGGCAATATCCCAGGATGAGGAGGCCAGGACTTATAGCCTTGCCAGGACTGCACCATATGTTTTTGATTCACTTGTCACACATAGGCGGCGGAACGGGGAGGGCACCGGGGCACTGTGCCCCCCTTTGATTTTGGCATTTTAACATAAGCCCTATGGGCATTGCATGGAAAGAATGGGACCAAAAGTCGGCAGTGCCCCCGGCCTCTCTTAACTGAAGGTGTTCCGCTGCTACTGTTGTCACATATAATTATTGGTCAATGTTCAGAAATAGTCTGATTCACTTTTCAGACAAATTTGGCAAATTTTTACACTATTTGATATCCTGAATTCAGATATGATGCTTACATGTGTCACAAATACCAACCCAAGAAAAAACTAATAAAACTTTACCTAACCTGTCCTCAACTACGTACCTACAACCTAGGTACCAACCTACAATCTACAACCTAAAACCTGCAAACCTGCAACCTAACACATCCTACAACCTAAAAACCTACATCCTACAATTTCTGCTGTTGCATACCAATACCTATTTGTATCAACGGGGACATAAGTGTAGATCGGACCGTTTCTGAACAAATACCCAATTATCATGCATAAAAATATTATTTATTCATCATTATTTCATTTTGCACCTTTTACATGGTGTTTGCAATTATTTGATAACAACCATTGGCTTCCTGCATTTTCACTACACATTTATATTTATAAGATGAAATTCTATGCACATTTTTCTTAGATGCTTTTCACCTTATACAGAAAATGAGTGTATTTATAGCTTAAGCTACCACTCAATCTTACATTTACAGTTTTAGATTATGTCTAAATGAAAATTCAGATGTAGAAAGTCCATTTCGCAAAATCAGACTAACTTGTGCCACAGAAACATCCCTGGGTAGTCTTTGATGCCTACCTTGTTGTTGTTTAAGCTGGGAACAGGGAAGAAAAAAGTAACTCAAACCACAAACTGAAACCACAGCTGAGAAAAGTATCTTGTGCAACATTTTTTTTTGTCTTATTGAAAATGGCCTATAAAAACCACCAAATACTGCAACATTGGCTTAGATTGGTCTTTGAAGGGAAAAGTAGTAAATTATTACTGAGTAGTAGCCAATTGCTTGTGAGCAGTAAGCAAAGTCATACATTTTGCTGTGCAAAACAGCATGTTTTCATTGTACCTATCTGCTCCAGCCTCCAACAAGGCACTACCCACAGTCCATGCTCTCATGTTGACCAAATGTATACCAATGACAGTAACTTTGTTTTTTATATTTGGGTAGTGTAACTCATTACAGTTCCCAGTCATTTTCCACATTCAATTCAACAACACTTGATATAAAAGATACAGTTGTTTTGTTAATCATCAGTGAAAAGTAACTTTAACATCATGAAGTGTCAGTGAGGAACACCACTAGTTGATCATTGATGTCTGTAACTTGTGCTGCTATCTACACACTCTTCAGTCTTCTCATTGATCTTTGAAAAAAAAAACTTTGAAATATGGTGATCACTGATTGATATGCATGCAAGGGTCATAGGATGTCTGGGCTGGTTTCACTGATTGAATTGTGGTGATTTAATGGAATATTTTAGGTCTTACCCTTTACTGTTCACCAGGGCTGGGCTGGTGGCTGGCCTGTCACCCTCATTGCTGCCATATGTCCACTCTGGTGACCAGCCAATGCTGTGACACTGTCCGTCACAGCTGCTCCTCGGGCTCCGTTTCAGGTGTTGCCTGTCTCTGACATGGCCTCTCCACGTGTGCAGCTGAGTCGGCGACAGCCGCCATTCGGCGTGCTGCTGACCGCCCAGCATGTGGGCGCGCCCGTGCAGTGGGCGGACCAGACGGCCCTGCGGCTCTCGGCCGATCTCTGCCTGTCGTCGCCAGCCTCCGTGTGCCGCCAGCTGGCACGTCAGGCCGCCGACGCCGACCGGCTGTACGGCGTCTCGGCACTGGCACGCACCACCGCCGACCACTGGCTGGGGTTCAGCGCGCGCGTCTCGGCAGCCGCCGGCCGGTCGCAGCTCGAGGCCTCGCTGGCCGAGTTCGATTCGGTGCTGCTGACGCTGTCGTTTCTGGTCGGCGAGTCGGCCAGTGTGGCTGACTATGCCGTGTGGGGCGCGCTGTACGGCAGCGGCCACTTCCAGGCGGCGCTGGCCGCTGGCACGGTGCCGAAAAATGTGCTACGCTGGTACCGGCTCATCGAAGAGCTGCCGGCGGTAAAGGCGGCGCTGGCCGCTCTGCCCGCCGAACTGAAACCTCGAGCTGCCGCTGCACCCGCCGCCTCCGCCGCCGGCGCCACCAATGCGCGCAAGGAGGAGGGCAAGTTCGTCGACCTGCCGGGAGCTGAGATGGGCAAGGTGGTGGTGCGGTTCCCGCCGGAAGCGAGCGGCTACCTGCACATTGGTCATGCCAAGGCAGCACTGCTCAATCAGTATTACCAGAAGGCGTTCAAAGGACAGCTCATCATGCGCTTCGACGACACCAATCCGCAGAAGGAGAAGGCCGACTTCGAGAAGGTGATCCTGGAGGACCTGAAGCTTCTGGACATCCACCCGGACCGTTTCACTCACTCGTCGGACCACTTCGACTTGATGCTGCAGATGTGCGAGCGGCTGCTGCGCGAGGGTCGCGCCTACGTGGACGACACCGAGCCGGAGCAAATGAAGGCCGAACGCGAACAGATGCAGGAGAGCGCTTGCCGTTCCAACTCGGTGGAGAAGAACCTGCAGATGTGGCAGGAGATGCTGGCCGGCTCCGAGGCCGGGCAGCGCTGCTGCGTGCGCGCCAAGATCGACATGAAGTCGCCCAACGGCTGTATGCGCGACCCGACCATCTACCGGTGTAAACCAGAGCCGCACGTGCGCACCGGCACCAAGTACAAGACGTACCCGACGTACGACTTCTGCTGCCCGATCGTGGACAGCATAGAGGGCGTGACGCACGCTCTGCGAACCACCGAGTACCACGACCGCGACGACCAGTACTTTTGGTTTATCGACGCGCTCGGCCTGCGCAAGCCGCACATCTACGAGTACAGCCGGCTGAACATGACCAGCACGGTGCTGTCCAAGCGGCGGCTGACCTGGTTCGTGGATCAGGGCCTGGTGACCGGCTGGGACGACCCGCGTTTCCCCACCGTGCGAGGCATTCTGCGCCGTGGCATGACCGTCGAGGGACTGCGCCAGTTCATCGTAGCGCAGGGCTCGTCCCGTGCAGTGGTCTTCATGGAGTGGGACAAGATCTGGGCGTTCAACAAGAAGGTGATCGACCCGGTGGCGCCGCGACTGACAGCCTTGCCGGCCGAGGGTGCCGTCACGGTTAACGTGAACGGCGCCGTCGTGGAGGTCACGCAGGCTGCACGTCACCCCAAGAACCCGGACATCGGAACGAAGACGGTGTGGACCGGCCCGCAGCTGCTGATCGACGCTGCCGACGTGGACATGCTCGTGGAAGGTCAGAACGCCACCTTCATCAACTGGGGCAACCTGCGCATCGACAAGGTGAACCGCTCTGGCGGCACCGTCTCTGTGGAGGCCACCCCGCAGCTGGACAACAAGGACTTCAAGAAGACGCCGAAGCTGACGTGGCTGGCCGCTACAGACAAGGCGCCACTCATCCCTGCCGTGTGCGTGTACTACGAGCACATCATCTCCAAGCCGGTGTTGGGCAAGGACGAGGACTTCAAGCAGTACGTGGCGCAGGACACGCGCTCCGAGCTGGTGATGCTGGGAGACCCGGAGCTGGCCGGTGTGAAGCAGGGTGACATCATTCAGCTGCAGCGGCGCGGCTTCTTCATCTGTGACTCGCCGTACCGACCTGCCAGCGTGCACTCGGGTCGCGAGAGTCCCTGTGTGCTCATCTACATCCCCGACGGACACGACGCCAAACCGGCGACCGGAGGCAAGGCGGCGAAGACGACCGCCACTCCAGCTGCCGGCAAGGGTGCAGCAGCTGCCGCCAAGCCGTCTCCTTCTGCTACCGGGGATGGCGCTGCCCTTAGTCAGAAGATCGCTGAACAAGGAGATAAGGTAAGGCAGCTGAAGTCTTCCAAGGCCGACAAGGCTACCATCGATGCTGCCGTGAAGGTATTACTGTCTCTGAAGGCTGATTACAAGGCAGCCACCGGCCAGGACTGGAAGCCGGGCGCCGCTCCGGCTCCGGCCGCCGCTCCGGCTGCCGGCCGAGGCAACGCAGCTTCTGCAGCTGATCTCAACGCACAAATCACCGCGCAGGGAGACAAAGTGCGACAGATGAAGTCTGCCAAGGCCGATAAGGCCGCAGTAGACGCCGAGGTGAAGACGCTGCTCGCCCTCAAAGCCGACTTTAAAAAGGCCACCGGTCAGGACTGGAAGCCGGGCATGACACTGCCTGCCGCTACCTCCGCTGCTCCCGCTCCTGGTGGTGGGGACGGCGCAGCCCTTAGTCAGAAAGTCGCCGAACAGGGGGACAAAGTCCGTCAGCTGAAAGCCGCCAAAGCTGACAAGGCCACTGTTGATGCTGCAGTTAAGGTTCTTCTATCTTTGAAGGCTGAGTACAAGGCAGCCACCGGCCAGGATTGGAAGCCAGGCGCCGCACCGGCTCCTGCCCCTGCCGCCACCCCCGCTGCTGCCGGCGGGGACGGTGCAGCCCTGAGTCAAAAGGTGGCCGAGCAGGGGGACAAAGTCCGTCAACTTAAGTCTTCCAAGGCCGACAAGGCTACTATCGATGCCGCAGTAAAGGTGCTGCTGGCTCTGAAGGCCGACTACAAGGCGGCTACCGGTCAGGACTGGAAACCAGGCGCAACCCCCGCCCCCGCTGCCGCCGCCGCTCCCGCCGCTGCTGCTTCAGCCGACTCTGGTGCCGCCGGAGACATGAACCAGCGCATCATCGACCAGGGCAACAAGGTTGGAACTTGACGAGCATGCCGCTTCGTTTTTGTTGCCTTTGTCCAGCATGAAACACCTTTTGTGTTGCGTCGCGTTTTTGCTTTTCAGAAGTAGAGGCTTATTGGAGAGTTGATGGGCGAATTTTGGGAAAGTTGTAACGCTAAGCTTGCAGTTGCCTCCGATATGTGTTCCTGTTTCCTGTATCTCTGCTGATTGAGCTGCATGTTGTCTACCGTCCTTGCTTTCTTGATAATATTCGAAGAGGTAAGTATAAGTGTGACTACCTGAACAGCCCCTCACCACTTAACCACTGCACCTGTGTTGCTTTAGTATTATTCTAACACATAAACTCATCATACGCTTCAAGTTTTCCATCAGGCTTTGCAAATTATTGTCTCTTTTCTCACCTCTGGATGCTTTTGCCGCATTTCCGCTTTGACAGGCTAACTGTTGGTAGGTGCACTCGTGATACACATCACTCATATTTGAAATTCACCCGGGACTAAACACAAAATTTTAGGCTGGATCAGTGTACTGCTAAATGTGCCTATTGGCGTCATTGCAAATCAATTCAATATTCACGTTTGCCTGGCTGGAGCTCGCGCTAGGCAAAACTCCAAGCGTGCGTCCTAAACTACCAATGCGATGGAGACCTTTTGCTTTGTCCGTGGTCGTATGGGCTAGATATAAACTCCGAGACTCCACTAGCCTCTGAGACCGCTTTCTTTCCCCACTAGCGTCATACAGTCATTATTCCAAAGTTTCAATCACGTTGTTTCGTGCAGGATATCAGGAAGGTCATTTGCGTGTCTAGAAATTGCACATAAATCACATCGATCACATCGATTATCTCCTAGCAACGAAGCCACTTGCTTGCTATCAAATGCATGCCTGTCATTTATTTGATCGTAGAGTACCTAGCTGCGGCATGCTTTCTAATCATGATGTTTATTAGATTGGTGGATGCTGGTTCGTTGCTGTTGATTGAGTTAGTGTTTATTAGATTGGTGAATGCTGATGTGTTGCTGTTGATTGTGTTAAGATATTGTTCTGGTTAAACCACGTTATTGACTTAGGACAATCATTCATTAGACAACCACCTATTTGAATGAGCGGTTGTTAAGAGTCACTGACTCACTATTGCTGTGTTTAGTGATCACGACTCATTTAACAATACCTTGGACCTCACGACGTGCTTGAACGAAATTGGCGACTGCAACACCGCAATGAGCCCTGACCCATGACTGAATGTTTCATACAAAGCTAACGGACGATTCATGACCTTGAATGACATAAAATAGCAAGGACGAAGCCTGACACATGGTTGTTTCATACGATTTTGTGCGGTTCGATAGTGGGTCTGAAAACGACCCACAGTGTCGCCTTGTGTCAGCAGCTGCTTTGACGGTTTTCGGTGGCGTGTTTCAGGTCCGTGAGCTGAAAGCTGCCAAGGCCGATAAGGTCTCAGTAGACGCCGAGGTAAAGACGCTCCTCAACTTGAAGGCGGACTTCAAGAAGGCCACTGGTAAGGATTGGAAGCCAGGCATGACACTACCTGCCGCCGCTGCCGCTGCTCCCGCTGCCGCTGGCGGAGACGGGGCAGCCCTTAGTCAAAAAGTCGCCGAACAGGGGGACAAAGTCCGTCAACTGAAGTCTTCCAAGGCCGACAAGGCTACAATCGATGCTGCCGTGAAGGTACTGCTGGCATTGAAGGCCGACTACAAGGCGGCTACTGGTCAGGACTGGAAGCCGGGCGCCGCCCCGGCCCCCGCCGCCGCCCCCGCTGCCGCTCCCGCCGCCGCCCCCGCTGCCGCTCCCGCCGCAGGCGCCGCCAAAGGTGCGGAACTGCAGGCGCAGATTGACGCACAGGGTGCCAAGGTCCGCGATCTGAAGGCGCGCAAGGCCGACAAGGCTGAGGTGGATGCCGCCGTGGCTTCGCTGCTCGACCTGAAGAAGGCCTTCAAAGAGCTAACCGGCCAGGAACCGGCGGCCAGCGGCGGCGGAGGAGGACGCACGCCCAAGAAGCCCGCCGCCGACAAGAAGCCAGCTGAAAAGAAGCCTGCTGAGAAGAAGCCTGCCGAGAAGAAGTCTGCCGAGAAGCCGGCTGCTGGCGATGACGCGGGTCCGAAGAAGCAGACGCGTCTCTGCATTGAGGCGAAGAAGGAGGAGGCGCTATCTGACTGGTACTCCCAGGTGAGGGACTGTCTCCGAAGCTGCAGCTGCTTATCAGTTACCTATCACTTAGCTAAAATGGTTGATATTTCATAGCGCACAAACGTAATTTCTGTGAGATTGTCTTCATTCATAACATGTCGATCGATTATTTGGACATTTTTTTCTGTGTACGTGGATTATGGCTCCATGTTACATGGAATAGAAGTTTTCTCTTTTTAACTGAGCACATTTTGAGTAATTTTCTGTGAACATTCAGAGTGAATCGCGGTGGCTGATGCGGTTTTCGCCCACCTCCCACTCGCCAGGTGATCACCAAGTCGGAGATGATTGAGTATTACGACGTGAGTGGCTGCTATATCCTCCGCCCGTGGTCCTACTCCATCTGGGAGAACATCAAGGACTTCTTCGACGCCGAGATCAAGAAGCTGGGAGTGGAGAACTGCTACTTCCCCATCTTCGTCTCACACGCCGCCCTAGAGAAGGAGAAGACGCACATCGCCGACTTTGCTCCCGAGGTCAGTGACGTCAGGGGTCCGTGAATTGGGGGGGGGGGGTCTAAGATGTAAGTTCGGGAGTCTGACCTTCATTTGTGACTCCACTGTCTTCCAGGCGACCCATACCGCAGCATTGCACGTGTCATCGTTCTGCGCTATGAACACTGGCATTTCATGCCTCATGCTGCCTGCCGCCCCGTGCTCATCAGCTATAAACTGAACCCCACAGACACGTACCCACGCAACTTTTGTTTGTAATTGTTCAATAATATGAATGATGATGACTTACATATGTCCCATACCGCTCTTTGACCGGTATCCTTGCGGCCCTTGGCTCCATGCCCTGTGACGCCATCTGAACCGTGTTTTGGTCGCTCTATTACCGGTGCTGTGACCTTTGTTTGACCTATATTGTAACCTTCGTTTGACCTGTGCTGTGACCTCTCTGTGACCGGTGCGGTGCTATCACCCTCCGACCTGTGCTGTGCCCGCCTCTAATCTATGCTGTATTCTCTCTCTGACCAGTGATGTGACCTGCATTTTACCATCCCTTGACCACCCTCTGACGGTGACCTCTGCCGCCAGGTGGCCTGGGTGACCAAGTCCGGTGACTCGGAGCTGGCTGAGCCGATCGCCATTCGGCCCACCAGTGAGACGGTCATGTACCCGGCGTACGCGCGCTGGATCCAGTCGCACCGCGATCTGCCGCTCCGGCTGAACCAGTGGTGCAACGTGGTGGTGAGTGCGCGCGCGATCTCTCTCTCTCTCTCTCTCTCTCTCTCTCTCTCTCTCTCTCTCTCTCTCTCTCTCTCTCTCTCTCTCTCTCTCTCTCTCTCTCTCTTCATACTTCCCTTTTTCTCCCTCCTCTCTTTTGACATTTCTCCATCATTTCCCTTCCCCTCTCTTGACTCCTACTCCCTCCATTTCATTCACTCTCACTCACTCACTCTTACTCTTACTCTCTTACTTCTCACTCCCTCTCTCTCTTTCTTCCCTTGTCACACCTCTCCCTCTCTGTCTGTGACATTCGATCTATCCGCGACCTCTGACCTGACCTGACCTTCCACAGCGCTGGGAATTCAAGCACCCTCAGCCGTTCCTGCGCACCCGCGAGTTTCTGTGGCAGGAGGGTCACACGGTGTTCGCCAGCAAACCGGAGGCCGATGAAGAAGTGCTGGCCATCCTCGACCTGTATCGGCGCATCTACGAGGAGCTCCTGGCCATCCCGGTCATCCCCGGACGGAAAACCGAGAAAGAGAAATTCGCCGGTACGTCTGACCACATACGGAGTGCTGGTGGCCACTAGCCACGATATTGTTATCGCACGAGTTCATGGCTGTGTTTGTTGTTGCATTTGAGAACTAATTATAAATAGTAATTATCGTAATTATGGGACATTTTTATGTCGCCCCTGGTTGGCATGGCACTGGCTGATACGACTGCCAATGTAGCTTCGATATCGCTCGGGCCGTTACCATTTGTCACTGACGTCACCTATGTCGTCACCGGTTATCCATGACGTCGCCAGTCACCACTGACATCACCAGTTACTACTGACGTCATCACTGACCACTGTCGGCAGGCGGCGACTACACCACCACAGTAGAAGCATACGTGGGCGCCAGCGGCCGAGCCATCCAGGGCGCCACGTCTCACCACCTCGGGCAGAACTTCAGCAAGATGTTCGAAATTGTGTTCGAAGACCCTGAGACGCAGGAGAAGCAGTACGTGTGGCAGAACTCGTGGGGAGTCACCACCCGCACCCTTGGTGTCATGGTGATGGTACACGGCGATAACCAGGGCCTGGTGCTGCCGCCACGCGTCGCCGGCATTCAGGTGAGCCGAGGATGTCGGCGGTGATACCGCGTCGGACGCGCTCAGTTAACAGTGGCCTCACAGGGTTCGGAGGGGAAGGGAGCGTTATTTTTACCTTACAGGCTTTGAGTCACGGAATGCTAGACCGTTTCGCATGCTGCTTTGGCCATAAATTCTTTCATATAAATATGTAAGTAGTTAACAACTAAGCTCAAATTTGGATAACTATGAACTGTGCAATGTAATAATTTATCAATAGTGAAAGTTAAGCGGGTCCTGACGGCCCTGCTAAAAACTGAGCAAGCTGAGAGAACTGAACAGTTTTCTTTGTGTCTAAATTACTGACAAGGTGTGTGTGAGCTTGCCCCGCGCTGGTCTGCGGTGACGTTAGTTCATCACTCCGCCGCCAGGTGGTGATCGTGCCGTGCGGCATCACTGCCAGCATGAAGGACGCCGACCGAGACGCTCTGCTCGACTCGTGTCGGCGCTACGAGTCCGAGCTGCGCGCCGCCGGCCTGCGCACGCGCGCCGATCTCCGGCTCAATGTGTCTCCCGGCTGGAAGTTCAACCACTGGGAGCTGCGCGGCGTGCCGCTGCGCCTGGAGCTGGGGCCGCGCGACCTGCGCCAGGACCAGTACGTGCTGGTGCGCCGCGACACCGGCCACAAGGCGACGTTCGCGCGCGCCGCTGCCGCCACCGACGTGCCCCGCCTCCTGGAGGAGATCCAGGCGAACATGTTCGCGCGCGCCAAGGCGCGGCAAGACGAGCACGTCGTAGTGTGTCACGACTTTGACGAGTTCTGTCGCCGCCTGGACAGCAAGTGTCTGATTCAGGCGCCCTACTGCGGAGCTATTGCCTGCGAGGAACGCATCAAGAAGGAGTCGGCGAGGTGAGGAGTCCAGGGTGTCGTGGTCCTGGTTTGAGGACTATTAAGGACTTGTGCTGGGGTGGTATTGGCAGTGAAGTAGCGACTAGGGGATAAGTTATGGCGTACAGGGAAAGATGAATTGGAGTAGGATTAGGAAAGATAAAGATGAAACATACCAGGGAAACGATGTGTGGTTCTAGCACCTGTACTAGTTGTATGACCGAGTAGCGTTTTATTACGTATTTTGAACGGGATATGAATCCAGCTTTGATTTGTCGTGCTTCACCATAATTGTCCATACGTGCTATCTCGTGACCACTTCGTTCCCATCCGTCCCACCCCCGCTCCCCACTGGCGACTGACGCTGCCGTCTATGTTGGCAGGGAGGAGGCGGCGGAACCCGGCGCGCCAGCCATGGGCGCCAAAGGACTGTGCATCCCATTCCAGCAGCCTGCCGAGCTGGCAACCGACGCGCGCTGCATCTGTCCCAATTGTGACGAGAAGCCAAAGTTTTACACCCTGTTCGGCCGGAGTTACTGAGAGCACGGCCGGCGGCTGGTCGGCTGTGTGACCTGGCGACGCTCGGTGGGGGTTTAGGTGACGGCCACCGGCGAACTGAATACAGCCTGACCCGCCTCTGGTGTGTCGTAATAGGGGAATGCTACAGCGTGTACGATCGTTCCCGTTCGAGAGGAACGGACGATCTGACGGCATCTATGCTATCCGTCAGGTGACTAGGAGCGGTACGCTGCCATCTGGGAATGGTTTCATATCGCCCCTCTGCTAAGATGTGGCGGCAGCGCAGCTATACTTGAGTCCGATTGCCCTGGCGATTGAGGTGTCGTTAGCTTTCGCAGCTACTGGTAAATTCACAATTGGTCCTAGGCACACGTCTCCCTAAATGACGAAGTCGGCCAGTGCATGAATAATACATGTTATCCCTGCCCCTCAAACCTCCCCGCTGAACCCACTCATCCTCTACCTATATGCGCGATCGATCCCTTCGTGATGAGACGAAGCTCCCAGTCCCGAATACACCTCCCAAATTCACGGCGGTGCCGCCGAGTGCGCGAGGTCCAGCACTCGGCAGATGTCGTCCCTGCTTTGGGTGATACGATAGCTGCATATAACGAGTAACGACTGGGGCTACCCCTGGGTACTGGCCGGTGATGTCCTTAGTAGAGTTCGTCGCTCGTTGATACATATATTGTATAATGCAGTATGCACATTGTAGCTGGTTTGAATACCAACCAAAAAGCTGGTCTACAGCACACCATCTCGATGCTCACATCGGTCGGTCCATTGCATCGGTCAATCCAACGCTTACGAGTCAGTCCATCGGTCCCGTTAGCCTCTATTAGCACCAGCCTGAAAGGTCAACGCTCTGGGAACACCGGTATATATGTAACAGACCGCTGACGGAATTATTGGACCGATAACTCCCCACGCCACTCTCGTCGGATCGCGATCAGCCGGGCGACACGTAAAACATTGACCAGATAAAACACATTCACCGTCGCCACCCGTCCGGCTTAGGGTTGCATCACATCCTGGCGCCAGCATGAAGGCAAACGCAGTCGTCCCTAGCTGTGACCAGTGCCATTTGCTGGGCGGCGACGGAGTTTGCAGCTGACTCGTCGGCCGCAGCGGCGCTAGTGTCAAACGGAGAGGCGCCGTCACGAGGAAGCGGTGGGACGCGGCTTCAGCACCAGTTTGCCGGTGTCATCACACCACATGTTGAAGTCAGCCAGCACCTGGCGGGTTCGGCAGCAGATGATGCTTGGAGCTACCACTCGCTTGTGGATACCCATTAAGAACAGAATTGCTAGCGTCAGTGTCGATATGGCAAAGAACAGGTGGTTGAAGAGTGACTGGACGAAAGCCACCTCCGATGTGGTTGGATCCGTGAGCCACTGGTATGCACCGATGGCCGTGCATGCTGAAACAGTCACCAGGACAACTCGCCAGCGCAGGGCGGATGGCTGCAGGCATGTGATGACCTCGGTCAGACGACGCTCGAACGCCTTCAGGTCTTCGCAGGCCGTCTGTTCGATGGACATTTCTGCTGGCAGCCACCACAGGAATTCTGGCTGGGCAAAGAAACTGAGAAGTTCTCACAGATTGCCAAAATAAACTAAGCAATGATCACAACCACCGTCTACCGCAAGTCCAAAAAATCACACACTGTATCTCAATATCTTGATCTGGTAGAATAGAGACCCTAGAGAGTCTAAGGTAGGTGCGTGTCCACGACAGCGCGTGTCCACTCGCACCTGAAATCAATGAGGGCCTTGGCACCTGAAAAGCGTGATTATTATAATAATTCTAGCCCTCTCACTATGATACCTACTCTAAATGCAGAGCCGCGCAAAAATTATTCAGAGGCTTCTTCAAGAGGACTTAGATATGGAATCGCGCCAAATATGTAACAAAACAAGCCAGGGTTTATAAAAAAAATCAGAATCTTTAAATGACATCATCAAAATTTATATAATTGGTGAGTTGACCTCATCCCATCGTCGTATAAAAACGCTCCTTACAAAAAAAGGCAAAAATGTACCTGTTGGTTCACACTTTCATTCAATTTGTGAATAACCACTATACTGCAATAAATCAGCGCACATAAATTTCTTGTCGGATTGGCTGAAAACCGAGACGTCATAAAATCACAACAAACATCCAAGTTTGAGTCGACACTGGTCACTCAGGGGTGGTGTTTGCAAAAACCTTGAGCGTCCTCTCATCGCACAAATGCTATCAGCTGTTGGACGTGTTTCATTTTAAAAGTCGCTTTTTGAATGCGCTTTAAAATTCACTTTTGTTAATTTCGTTTATAAATATTTGTAAAACACTTTTTCTCTGAAAAACAGTGCAATGTTTCCTTTAAAGCGTAAGTATACTGAGGAATACAATACATTTTGCATGCCTATCTAACAGGTGACTTCCAGAAGCTTCCCATCAGCTGTATTTTTTGGGTGAGGTTGCGCTTGGGATTGCGCGCCTGTGAAAAAAAGCAGATGCTGCGCGGGGCACGTGCCGGGCCGGTTCTTTTAGGACAAGGCGTGGCGTGGGGTGTGACTGTCAAAAGTAAGCGTTTTTTATTATGAGTAACCTTCTATGAATGCTCATATGCATTGCTTTTACATAGTGTGGTTTTGTGATTTGTATGCTGTTTTTCGAAGGCTGACTATGCGTGGTTGCGAAACGTCAAACGAATACGATACTGTTACAAGTGACTGCTGTCTGCTGGGGTCAGAGTGGGGGATAGACTGGTTTCAGATCTACCATCAGAAATATTGCCAGTTGATGGTATTATCACTGGTCACTAGGCCTGGCTACACTATGCGTTTTCTGCATGCGTTTTTTTAGGATTGCGTGTTTTGCATAATAGGTATAGTTTAAGAAAAAGAAATGATAAGTCCAACGTTTTTGTGATATTTTTATGTCAAATTTTAGTCAATAAAAGAGTTATATTAAGTTTTGAATATAGCATGCACAAAAAACATTATAGTTATATTATTTACAACTTTTGCGGATCAATATTGCCAAAAAAAAACACCTGTAAAAATCACACCCAGAAAATGCATAGCATAGCCAGGACTTTAGCTTCCTATGAGATTTAATCAACCATAGAAAATGGCTGCTAGTGTGGAAGAGCTTGGCTAATATCACTTTTCACTACAGCAGTCATTGGGTTTGTTCCCGTCGCTCCTCCAACCTCCTCCAAGCTCCTCCAAGCTCATCTTGATTTCACATCTCACCACCACTATTTGCCTCCTCCCTCATCCCAAATGAAAGTTGGATTTTTGGAGGAGGCTCTGCGTAGATATATTTGGCGCACGTAATACAAATGTGGATTGTTTATAAATGAGATTTGAGGGAAGTGGAATTGATTTTAGTGATCGATGAGGATGGGATATCTTTTAATAGTAATGCTCGATATAAATATAAGGTTATTTTATTAGAAAGAGATTGTTAACTCTAAATTACTGTTTGCGCGCCATAAATCGCCGACCGTTACAGCCCGCAAACAGCTGATTTCCTAGCAAAAATGTTCCCGTGGCTCCTCCGAAACAGCTCTCCTCCAAGCTCATCCAACCACATCCGAGATTTTTTGGGAGGAGCGACAGGAACAGACCCATTTGTTCATGTGGCCTGAAAAAAATTGGAAATGACAGCAGCTCAGCCTGGCATTTTTCTGTTTGTGAAACTGGCCTCAGGGTATTTAATTAATGACCTATTATATTAGTTGAATTAAGTCATTAATTAGGTTGATTTAGGACTGAATCAAAATAACTGCTTAGATCAATAGAGACATTGGTGCCTTTCCAATGAATGATGCAAAGAATTGTTGGTTTATATCAGACAATAGCTAATTATTTTTTTTACAACTGGAGCTCTGCCTTATGCCTATATTTCATCATGTAGGTACCCTCAATTTGCTGCTTCATCTCTGAGCATTTGAATAAAAAGTTGTTAGGTACCCACTTATTACTTTGAAAACAGGACTGTTATTCTTGGCAAATTTGACAAGACCTGGCTTGTCTGGGCTCAATAGTTCTGGGTCTTCTGTCTTTCTGTCCATATGGCTGTAGGTTCTGTGTTACATGATTTTGCATGAATTGCTGCAGATTTCTGGCCTGGTTGGATGCATGCTGGCCACTGGTGCATATTTTTCTTGTGTGACTTGTCCTGCTATACTTGGTGAAGATACCCAGAATAAGTTTGTATTGATTTTGAGAAAAATACCAAAGGAAAGCATAACACTAATGAACTTAATTCCCTGCCTCAATGTGTAACAATCAAATCACCCCACCCACTAGACTTTTTTGTTAGACTTGCAGCTTGCCAGCTACCTATGCCAATCAAGCATTATTTGATTATCTGGCTAGTGGCTGAGTAGTGAGTAGAGATACCTGGCCTTACAAGGTTGAATGTCATCAGTATGAGCATGTTTGAAGGTTTATGTGTAATGCGTGATGTGCAATGGATATGTGCAAATAATCCACCAGGCACCAAGAGTTGATGTATCACTAATTCTCTACTGCTTGTTACTAGTCACTGCTAATTGCTAGATGGCTCATTCCAGCCATATTTGGCCAGGGGGGGTCGAAGTCTAGTTCATACTAGACTGGCAACCCCACGGCTGACGTCACGATCCCCAGCGTGACGTCACAGCCCCAGGGCATTGACCCCTTGAAGCTTGCAATATTTGATGGTGCTTACAGACGAACTGAACAAAGCTTGTACGCAACAAAAGAGTCATGCTTCTACGCTCGATAATGTGTTTCTTGTGTTTTTAGCAGATAAAGCAGACAAAAAATGTTCAAAGGCAGAAACAGCGAGGGTCGCCACGCATCGATCTCATCGCATGTGGTGGCCCAAGAGGCGCAGCATTGCACCCGTGACCCCTCTTTATGTCCCTAAGGTCATTTCAGGTCAAGAATGGTCTCCGGCAGTTTTTTGTTTTACCGTAACCTTTGACAGAGATATGATTCTTGATTAAACAGCAACAAAAATACATTAGATGTATTCAGCCCAACGATACAGATCGACTGATATGCATTCAGCATTACGGCATTTTCCGGTCAGGACATGACCTGGAAATGAGGTAAAATTGTCGAAATGACTTTTTGCGGTCAATTCAAAGCTTATTTGACGCGTATTGACGAGAGGAGCACGTTTATCTGCATTTTGCCGGCGTAAAGTTTCATGGAAATCCGTTGAATAAAGTTTAGGTCTGCGGAGTCGGAGTCGGAGTCGATCGGCGTCGACAGTTTTGCCCGGATTCAGAGTCTTAATCGACATGTCATTGCTCAAATTCGTGGTCTTCGTCTGTTTGCGGAAAAATATTACGTTCGGTGACCTTTCCAAGACCGATGTTTAAGCTGAGTTCCTGTTCATCTTCCTGTTTTGGACGAGCTTTTGAGTGTGAAAAGCAAAAGGGGGTGGCTGCACCCGAAACTGCTTTTATTCACAGACATGTTATTTATAACCACAGTTCTGACCGGGGTCGGAGTCGGAGTCGATTTTGGAAACCAGAGCCGGAGTCAGTCGGAGTCACCGAAAATCAATCGACTCCGCAGACCTGGCAGGGTTGCGGAGTCGAAGTCGGAAATAGAGTCGGCTGGAGTCGATAGGTAATGTATGCCCGCAGTCGGAGTCGAAGTTGGTTTTTGGAAGCCAGAGTCGGAGTCGGAGTCAGAGTCACCGAAAATCCATCGACTGCGCAGCCCTGGACTTATAACGATACCGAAATGATCTGCTGTTGGAATGTCAAGTGTGTTCACACGATTTTCAGGCACCAGAATCTGCATCTTAGATTGTGAAATGGTCATTTCATGGCTTCTGGTTTCTAGTCAAGATCTGGTAGCCAGCGGTTCCTTAAAGTTCCCAGGCATTCTCTGGTTCCCTGCGCCTCAGGTCTCTTGATTTCTCAACCTGTCGGCTGTCTCAACCGTTCACGGTTTTCTGAAAGCTTCTGAGTGGCGGCTCTTCCACCAGCTATAAGCTGGTTGTTTCGTGGTTCTTGACTTATAGCTAAACTTCTGATTATCAGACAATATATGATCGATCACATTTAGATCACAATGATGTTTCTACCGGATAAAAACAGATATCTCTGTGTATCATTCACTTTACCACCAGGGACTGGCGACTTGCATTCTGTATAACATAATAAGTCTTTATTCTTATTTCTTTACGCGCTGAAATTAACCACCTGTGTCTGGAACCATGATATGATAAAGTAAAAATATTATGCCAAAGCTAGATAAATTAGATGAGCCCCGAAATACAGGAAAATATCCAAAGAGCTTGTTTCACCCTATTTCATAACAACAAAACTATCTGCAAATACGAGATAGCGTCCTTAGCAACCGCCCATAGCAACGTGTTTGTCTGAACCACGCATCTGGAAAATTAAGTAGATACTGGATAAGTCGACTCGAGTTTGGTCAAAACTACACTGAATTTGATTTCGAAATGGCTTTTTGTGAATCAAATGTAAAGTGACTTATTATTTCCTTTCAAATTTTCATACCATTAGAAAACATGCTTGTTTGCTCTATATTTGTAAAGAAACAACTGCAAGGACGAAATATCACGACACATTCTAGTACCTTGTTGGTAGGAAACTTCGTCCAACCTTATGTTTTAGGGCCTTGTATTTGGCTACAACTGCTTTATTTCACTGTAAGTAAGTATGTAATGCTTGAATGATGCAATAAAGAGTGAAACATAAGCAAACATCACAAGCAACAAGCACAAGCAACAAGAAGTCCGACCCTTCGCCTGAGAACTCTCGTGCCTTTTCACTTGCCCGATCCGCTTTCAAATCTCTATCGAACTCGAAATATCGTGATTACCTCACTGGTCTAGTCCATGACTTCAGAGAAACGCCTAAACGTTTTTGGTCATTTATCAAGTCCGTAAAATCTTCATCGCATTCTTCTCCAACTTTAGAGTACGAAGGTGTGTCGTATTCTGATGACTATGACCGAGCAGTTTGTTTCAACAAATGTTTCAGTCGCAAATTTTCAGATTCCAAAATTGACTCACTGCCTCCTCACACCAATGCTGAACGTGTCGACTTTGTGTAGCTTTCATGTGCCACCGGGCAAGGTTGAACGGCTACTGCTAGAACTGGACAGACACAAGGCGTGCGGTCCAGATGATCTCAGCGCACGTATACTGAGGGAGTGCGCCCGTGAGATTGCTGTTCCGCTTGAGATTCTGTGCCGACTCTCGGTTGAACAGGGCGTGTTTCCATCTCGGTGGAAACAAGCCAACGTGGTGCCAGTGCACAAGAAAGGAGACAAACGTCGCCCGGAAAACTATCGTCCGGTCTCACTGCTACCGCTCTGTTCTAAAGTTTTAGAAAAGGTTGTTTACGACTGTCTGATGTCTCACTGCCGTCCTGTGCTGCCGCTGAGCCAACACGGATTTTTATCAAACCGATCTTGTGTGACCAATCTTACATGTTTCATGAGCGATGTATGGGGTGCCATTGCCGAAGGCAAACAAACTGATGTTATTTATACCGACTTCTCTTCCGCTTTTACTAGTGTTAATCACGAACTTTTACTCTATAAGCTAAACAAGTCTTTCAACGTAACGGGTCTTGCATACAACTGGCTTCATTCATACCTTAGTGACCGTAAACAGCGTGTTGTTGTCAACGGGAAGCAGTCAACATGGACACCTGTGCTGTCGGGCGTGCCGGAGGGAAGTGTGTGCAGTAGTTTGTTGTTCGCGTGCTACACAGCCGACATCCCGCTTCATGTCAAGCACGGGTGCACGATGTATGCGGATGATATCAAGCTGCACAAAATGGTTCGCTGTGAAGATGATGTTCATACATTGCAAGCTGACATCAATGCATTGGTAGACTGGTCTCGCGCTTGGAACTTGCACCTGAACCCTGTGAAATGTCATGTGATAACTTTTACTTTGCGCACCTCACCTGTATTAGCATCATACAAGATAGGTGACGCCGCACTGGAACGATGTACGCAGGTGCGCGATTTAGGAGTTGTGCTTGACAGCAAACTGACCTTTGCTGGTCACGTAGATGCCACGGTCGCCAAAGCGAAACGCATGGTCGGTCTGCTGATCAGAAGCATGCAGCGATCGGCCGTCCCGCGCCGCGCCAGGGTCAGTTTTAAGCCTTTACTGTCTGTGTTTTACGCTCATGTTCGCTCCATCATCGAATACGGCAGTGTGGTCTGGTCTGGTGCAGCTGTGACTCACCTCAAAAGACTCGAACGTATTCAGCACACATTTCTCATCTGGCTGGCCTGTTCTAGTAACACTTGCTCACAAAATCTTAGCTATGATCACCTACTTCGGCATTTTAACGTTCCCTCGATCAAATCACGTCTCATGCAACATGACCTGATGTTCCTTTACGGTGTGTTTCACGGCCACATTGACTGTCCTCAGCTGCTACATCAGTTTCAGCTGTCGACACCTGTCAGACGCAACAGGTCCCCAGCTCTTTGGCATGTGCCGTTTGCTCGAGTGGCAACGATCAAAAACAATACCTTCTGCCGTATCCCATCGAGGTGCAATGAGCTTTTAAGAGACAACACATCTCTAGACTTCTTTTATTCTCCGATATCAGTGTACAAGGCCTCTGTAAGGCTCCATGCTGCACGAGCTGGCTTTTATTGAGCTTTTGTCCGTCCGAAGGATTGCGTGTATTTATATAGATTTATCTTATATTTATCCATGACTTCACCTGTAACCGGGTTTTATCTGTACCTGTTGGTGATGAGCAAATAAACATAAACATAAACATAAACATAAACATTGTGAGTCCACATACACACATCGAAACTGAGCTTGTCATTTAAACAGTTGTCACAAAGATGACTCAATCTCACTTTGTCATCTCGATACGTCGCGGGAATGGTGACCTGAGCAAACATTACGGTGCGTCGGTGACGAGGTTCGTTTCGCGGAGGTGCGCGGTCGCCTCGCTATCGGAATTCCCGGACTGGTGTGACGTGATCGCCGATAAGAGCGGCGCCGAACGGCCGTCTGGCGCCGCCGATGCGGCCAGTAGAGACCGAACGCGGCACTCGTCAAGTGGTGCACGCTATGTCCGAGAAGGATGTCTCCCACGGCAGCCGTGCCGTCCGCATGGCTCCGGAGAGACCAGCGCAGACGCAGCTTTCATCCGTGCACTACAACGCAGCGCCGCCGGTGCGACCCGTATCGCTGCGGCGCTGCCTACACGACCAGCGGCGCGACCCCGTCTCCGGCCTGGCTCTGGGACCGGCGTCTGCGCAGCTCTGCTTCCTTCTGCCGATCTACGACCTGGAGCTGAACGGGCCGCGCAACTCGAGTGATCTGCAAAAAGGGCTGGACGCACGGCTCCCGCAGGGGGGCAAGTACGCTTGCCACGTGACCGGATCGTCCATCGAGCGACTCTCCGTGCCCCCGTACACGGAGCGGGATGGCGGCGAGCAGCCGGCCCAGTACCGCGTGGCAGACGTGGATGTCATGTTAGAAATACGCCCGCTGTCGGTGGCGCTGCGCCCAGGCGACGGCGCGGCAATCTACATGGACGCGTCGCGCTCCAGCCATCGCGGCTACACCCGTGTTGTGGCGGAGCCGGCGGCGGCGCAGGCCAACCCCATCTTTTGCCGCCCAGTGGGTGACGACGGCGGACCGGAGATCTATCTATCAATCGGTACAGTAAACGATGCACTGACTGCGCTCACAACGCTCTTTATCCCGACAGCAACAGTGCATCGGCAAGGTCCTTCGGTGAACGTGCAACAACCGGGTGATATCCACCACCATGGACCGCTTGCCTACATCAATGACATGGACATTGTGCCGGCGCTGCCGTTGACAGAGCGGCCGCCTGAGTTTACCGACTGGCTGAAGCGCGTGCGCGGGCGACAGTGGCCGCCGGAGGAGCTGCAGCAGGAGATGGACCGCGACGCGCGATGTTTCCTGGTGGGTGCCGGTCACGCCAGCAGCTCCCGGCGCGACCTGGAGTGGCGTCTGTCTTTCTCTGAGCCCGAGCGGCGGCTGGCGCTCAGCCTGACCCCGCAGCAGCGCAAGGTGTACGTGCTCATCAAGATGATGCAAAAGTGCTACCTGCAGGAGCCCAAAGTGCTGGTCACGTATCACATCAAGACGCTCATGTTTTGGGAGCTGGAGGAGTGCAGCAACACCGACTGGGTTGAAGAGGAGCTCTTCGAGCGCGTCCTGGCCATGCTCGATCGCATCGAGGCTTGCTTGGAGCGACAGTACATCCCCAGTTACTTCATGCCGGACAACAACCTCATCAGCCACGCGGACGCCGGTGACGTGGCCGCCGTGCTCGCCACTGTGCGGCAGATTCGTCGCCGGCCGTTGCAGCACCTCTACGGCATCGACGACCGGTTCCGGTTCGACTTTTCATCGCCACGGCCGCTCTCCGAGCTGCACGAACCGCTGCGTCGCCTCCTGCTCGACGGTGGCGGCGGTGGCGAGGAGGCCGCTGAAGCGCTCACTGTTTCGCTGATCGAACAGGCACAGGCAGACGTTCGACGTGGCCTGGGCGAGCAGCGCCGCTGCGCGAGGCTGCTCCAATCGGCGTGGGAAGCGCTGGCGGCGGCGGCACCGGAGGGCGCGCCCCACCCGGTGCATGACGACTGGCTGATGTTCGCCGCTGCTGCCGCCTTCGAGGCCATGGGCGCTGATGAGAGTGTGTGGGCGCTGCAGGCCCTGGAGGCTGTCTTCGATGATCGGGACAGGCCCGGCACGTTCACTCAGGTTCCGGTCGAGGCAGCAGAGGCGTTACGTCAGTCGCTGCTCCCTCAGTCGGGAGACGACACCGAAAAGAAAAGTACCGGTGAGTATCAGCTGAAGCTGAACGAGATTGTACGTTCGGGCCTGCTGGAAAAGCCGTCACCGGTTTCCACGGTGATCCACCTGCGTCTTGCCCAGCTGGAACTGCTACGGGACCTCAAGCACAAACAACTTGAGAACATCCCCGATATGCCGCCGCTGATGGCATCCGCGATCAAGACCCAAATTGATCTCAGCAACATTGATATGACCTTCAAGTTCAAGCTCTCCTGTGGTGTCCCTGAACAAGAGGCTTTGGCTGACCTCATGCAGAAATTGATGGCGGTGACGGTGGGACTGCTTCGTGACGACGAAAAACGCTCAGTCTCTACCAGCGTTCACTCTCTGGCGACAAAGACTGCACGGGAGCTGCTTCGGTCGGAAGACATGCCGGACAACGTGGAGGACGCACTGCGGAACGACGGTGATTTGGCCGAGCAATGCCAGAAACTAGACGAACGTCTGAAACCGGCCGAGAAGAATCCGTCGCGGCTTCCATTCGACACCGATCCAAGGATGTTGAACTACATTCCGATGCACATGACCCACCTCTACCAGCTGGCATTCACCGGCGGTCTCAGTGAGTCTGAACTCGATCACTACTACACCCCGTTCTTCAACATGATGGGCTTCTTCCTGAAGCAGAAGCGGCTGCAGTATGCGTTCCGCACAGTGGGAATGCTTACATGTATCTGGACGACCGCGCCCGAGTGGGAACTGCAGCGCGTGGTGTACAACGTGAACCGTGCACCGCTGTACCTACAGCAGCTACCGGAGCCGGTGCGCGCCCTGCTGGGACTCACCTCTGGCCGCACCACCATCGGTGTGCTCTACCGATTCATCGACCTCATGCACCGCACCTTCGTCTTCGAAGGTGTTCGTATCGACGACCTGCTGACTGGCCAGTTGCCGCATCAGCAGCTGGAGAAGATGGAGGCGACTATCGTGCAGACAGCGCCGCTGGTGGACGATGACGTGGAGCTCACCCATCTGGTGATGCGACTCTGCGTGCTCAAAGTGCTCGGACGTGACACGGACGGCGGTCTGGCGGACATCCTCGCCGTCAGTGAGGATGGTGTCGTGGAGACCATCGGAGAGATCTTGCGAGAGTGGCGCGTTGGCGAACAGCCTCCGAAGACAGCGACACCAGGCTCTAAAGCAGCGAGATTATCCCCGGAGGCAGCTCCGTCAGTCACTGAGGAAGTGCCAACAGTGACTGGGGAGGCAGCGCCACCAGCAACTGAGGCAGGATTTCCTTCAACCACTGAAGGAGAAGCGCCACCAGTCGATGAGGAAATGTCGCGGACTACCGATCGAGCAGCTCCAACTACTGATGAAGTGGTACCAACTACCGGTGCGGCAGGTCCAACCACTGAGAAAGCTTTGCCAGCTTCAAAGACAGCTGCACCAGCCACTAGGGTAGCGGCACCAACCAAGGGTGCATCGGTACCACCTACTGATGCAACAGCTATAGGTGCTGAGAAAGCTGCACCAGCTTCTGAGACAGCGGCGCCAATCATCGAGAGAACGTCAGCAGCCGAAGCGGGAGCTCGGGGAATTCAGGCAGCGAGATCCGCTGAATCAGCTGAGGCAGTCACTGAGACAAAAACTGGAGCGGTAAACGAGTCGGGAGGAGCTGAAGCGGCAAACACACAGAAGAACCGGAAACGAGGAAAGCGGTCCCGCTGTGTGATATCTTAGAGTATATTGAACTGCAGAGGAAAGCTCTTCATTAGATTTGATTTAAGGGTAGGCAATCATCTCAATCATCTGAGCCATATACAACTTGGTAGAAGCAGCTCTGTCTTTTACTTGTTATGGTTCGCCGAACTATTGTTCTAGTGAGAGTGTATTATATTTGTTCAGTTGTGGAGCTGGCCATGAGTTCATGGGGCTCGTTTTCAGCTATTTTCCCAGTACTTACGCACACTCATGTGACCTGGAGAAAGCCCGGACTGTTTGCTTTGGTTATCGGTATCGGCCGCCGGTCGGGTCTGAGCGGCATTGGGCATTTACCTACGTACGTGTGTGCGCTGTTCTGTGTACAATAGTGATGTCATTCCTTCTGGGTCACTTGATTTTGACGTCACTGATAAGTCATCACTGCCCAATGGCTGCCTGATAAGGTGTGAATAAATACATGGTATGATTTTAAATGGTGTTTTGCTTTCCATCCTCGTTGCCTTAGTGTCGAGTCCACAGTTTTGTTTCGGTTTTACGTGTACAAAATACTTGCCAAATATTTATCCAAACATATTATTGGATACCTGCCACCTGGTACAGATGTTTTATTGAGAGCAATTATGTCTGGAGTTTGGTCTACGCTATGACCCAAACAATGTTAAGACATATGAAGAGAGAGTCACTATCGGAAGACCCTTTGGTGGCGCTTCCTTGATATCGGGGATGGGGAGAGAGGCTATCAAATAAATTGGAGACCGTTGGCTAGGTCAAATGTCAATAGTCTACCGGATAAAGGTGCTGCTCTGGGCATGCATCTTACATCGTTGACTCAGACATGTCCGGGCTAATGTTTTACTTCGGTCATTCTGTCCTGCTCCAGACATTAGTCTCTACGAGGGAGCTATGTATGTATGTCAATCCGGGCTCACAGTGTCACTGCTCTATTCTAGACCGAGTCATTAGCCTCCCCGAGGGGCTGTCTGTGTCGATTCGCGCTAACGCTATCTGTTCTATTCCAGACTTAGTGATTAGCCACAACCGAACACAATGGCGAGTGTACAGAGTCTGCTGAGCCTGCCGGGAGAGCGCACCACTGGCCAGAGTGTGCGCACACAAAACGGTAAGCCACCGAGAACCGGCACAAGGTCCTCTGCCCCACAGGATACCCACAATGTCCCAAAATTTGCCAGTTTGGGTGGGAAATGACATCCAAATCAAAATAATTTTCCGCTCCCACCTCCAACTTTCCAGAACAATTTTTAACTCCCTATTTTACAAATAAAGAGCATCTGTGGGTACCTTTTGCCTCCCTCCATTTTCGATTCAATTATCTTATATAGCAACTCCCACATCCTTCAACATTCACAAATAAATTGTTGATCCCTGTTTTCCGCTCTTTTTTGTGCCTTTCTGTCTGGCATTTTTCCACTCTCAGCTCTCTTCCTAGTGACGAATATTCCCCTCCGACACCCAAGCTGAGATATAATTTTGGGAAGCTGGATACCCACCCGCAAACTCTGCCTGCTGCTGTGGGAACGGCCCCATACTGCTTCATGATGCAATATTCTCTGTATATTAGGGGAAGTCTACTCCCAATGCTCAATCGAAGTTATGGTGTGTAAAGGGCTACAGTGCCCTTTCTGTACTACTGTAGTTGTATATCAAACCATGGCATGCCGTTGCGTCTTGCTCTGTCACCTCTGTCGCCGTGTCTCGTTGTTGTCCAATTCCATTCCGGTCCTTTCCGTCCCGTCCCGTCCCGTCCTATATCGTCCCTCTCATTCCATCTTCCTACTTCTATCTCATTCTGTCTGTCCTATCCACTCCCATCTCATTCCTTTTGATCTTTCTCACTCCGTTTCATCCCACACATTCCTCTAATGTATCTTACTCGCGGCAGTGATGGCCGCTCAATCAATCGCCAACATCGTCAAATCATCCCTGGGCCCGGTCGGCCTGGACAAGATGCTGGTGGACGACATCGGCGACGTCACCATCACCAACGACGGCGCCACGATCCTGCAACTGCTGGAGGTGGAGCACCCGGCCGCCAAGGTGCTGGTCGAGCTGGCCCAGCTCCAGGACGAGGAGGTCGGCGACGGCACGACCAGCGTGGTAAGAGAGGGTGGGATACGGGGGAGTGAGAGGGAAGGGAGGAGGGGCGCAGAGAGGGTGGTATGGTGGGGAGAGGGGAGAGGTTATGGTATGTTATGAACTTTGGAGGGGGTGTATATTAACATTGAACATGACAAACAGGGAAGACAGGGAACAGGGTAAGGTATAATTTATAACGGTCTGGTGAAGGAGCTTGCAGTGAGAACCAAGAGAGGCTTGTAGCAAGGGAGAAGGACAGGTTGTATGGGTTAAAGTTGTTTGACGTTTTCGCACTGTGTTTGACATACGTATTACCTAAGCTGAAATACGTGTTCGTGACTATGTGGCGTGGTAGAGTACACGGACCCTAATGTTATGTGCTGATGTGTGACGCCAGGTGATTCTGGCCGCCGAGCTTCTGAAGAACGCCGACGAGCTGGTGCAGCAGAAGATTCACCCGACGTCGGTCATTGCCGGCTACAGGCTCGCCTGCAAGTACGTACACAGCGGCCACGACGGTAGCTCACGTCTTATGTGACTTAACTGTGTGACTTCTCAGTGTGACTTACTCCGAGCTGCCCAGCAGCTGCTGGGCGAGATGGGAGCGCCACCTGACGGCGCTTGTCCGTTTATCTGGTCGGCAGGCGTTGTAAATCTATTTACGGTATTGAGTCACGTTTTGTATATACTAATAACTTATTGAAATGTGTGCTTGATCGCCAACATATTGAGTAGCTTATCACGGCGGCTAAAAATGTTGCTCTTAGCTCGTATTCGTTGTGCAGATTTCCTTAGATCGCAAAATCTACCACGGCCGTTTGCTTTTCATCTTACCCTGCCGGTCACTTCTCCCTCTCGGGCCTCTCGCCTCTGCCTGGCGTTCACTAGCGACCCTACTCACGTTAGCGATGGCATCTCACCGCTCCCTCATCTAACCAGTGTTTCGGCCTCTCTCTGACCCGTAGAGAGGCGTGTAAATACATCACCAGCCACCTGGCCATGCCCATCGCATCACTGGACAGCCAGTGTATCGTCAACGCCGCGCAGACGTCCATGTCGAGCAAAATCATCGGCGCCGACTCGGAGTTCTTCTCCAAGATGGTGGTCGACGCCGCCCAGGCGATCAAGATCAGCGACGGCAAGGGCGGCCACCGGTACCCCATCAAGGCGGTCAATGTGCTGAAGGCTCACGGCAAGTCGGCGCGCGAGTCGGTCCTGGTTCAGGGCTACGCGCTCAACTGTACAGTAGCGTCACAGGCCATGGTGAAACGTATTGCCAACGCCAAGATCGCGTGTCTGGACTTCTCGCTGCAAAAGACTAAGATGAAGATGGGTGTGCAGGTATGTGGTATCGGGGAGGGGATATGGGACTTAGCAGCTTTTGGATGGCAACTGTGGCGAGGATGTGGGTCCAAATAGCTTAGGGAATGGTCAAGTGCTGCTAAGTTATTTGAAACTGAAAAGCTTTTACCCGTACACGATTTGGAGAGCTGCACAACAAGTTGTATTCTTGGGCAAAATGCCGTGTGTGAGAGGGGGGGGGGGAGGAGTGGAGGCTACACAGTAGCCATTAGAGTAGCCGCAGTAGCCTAGGGAACCATCTAAATTGCCTGAGGTCCGATTAAGTTCAACGGTGAACTCTGCATCGTTCGGAGGCTCCCCCTCTTTGCCTCTTCCCGGTCTCTCATATCCCCTTCTTACCGTAACACGATGACACTATAGACTGATCCGCGTGTCTGAACCGCCAATCTCAACCCAACTGTGAACTGATTGACCGATCTGTACGGGCAGGTGCTGGTCGAAGATCCTGAGGAGCTGGAGCGGATCCGGCTGCGGGAGTCTGACATCACCAAGGAGCGTATCCAGAAGATCATCGCTGCTGGCGCTAACGTCATCCTGACGACCGGAGGCATCGACGACCTCTGCCTAAAGGTCAGTGTGGGAGGGGGATGGTCTAATATGTGGAATGGCCCATGTATGGGAAGGGAGAGTTGAAGGTTAGGATAGCGGATACCGACAGTTTGTGTGGAGCTGGTGAACAGTGGGTGATGATGTAGCTTACCACAGTTTAGGGCGTCCTCTGTCCAGTCTTGTCCGAAGTTTGTGTGTTTAGCGTTAGTCTCAATGCGCTGGAGCAAGTAATTGTGGTAGTTTTTCTTTATGTAATACGACCATCAGTTACAGTAGACTGACTTCGGCCATTTGCTGTTGTATCCAATTGGCCAATAGTTAGCGGGTCGGTCAGTTCCCAGTGGGTCAGATAGCTGGCCAGTGCCGCAGCTGACTGATGAGTAAAGTCTCGTCGTTCATTCCGTACGCCGCGCGTTTCCCCAGTATTTCGTGGAGGCCGGCGCGATGGCGGTACGTCGCTGCAAGAAGCAGGATCTCAAACGGATCGCCAAGGCAACCGGCGCGCAGTTCGTCACATCCCTCGCCAACATGGAAGGTAAGGACTGATCGCTCCTGATACCTGACGCCCTGAGGCACTGTTGCCCTGATCTTCGGCGCCCTAACACCCCTTTGTGCTATAACCTCGACAGAAGGTTTGTCGCGCGAGTCGTGACCAGCTCCAAACCAGGCTTTTCCAGTACATTATTGTGAAGTCAATCATGTGTCATGCCTGTGAACTTTCAGTTTGTGTTCCATTAGACGCACGACTTCTGACGTGTAACATGAAGCTTAATGGATGTAGCAAGCGCTAATTCATTACGATTTCACGATGCACGAGCAAATTGAAACCATAGAGCCATACGTGGAGTAGCTTTGCGTAGAGGTCCTTCATTACGTGTGTGGAGCCTTATGCTTGCTGTCATTTCGGCATGTCCTGAATTAAAGCCCGACAAATTGTCCAATTAAATTACCCTCCACTTATCCAAGAAATGCCGGTCGTAGCCTGGGTAGCAGCTGTTGTTAGCATTTTGTTTCCGTGCTCACTGAAACGTGTTGTGACGTCTTGTCTAGTGTCTAACACGTTCCAATGGCGACGTCGGTCGGGTGACGCTGTTGATTCGGTTACTTTGGCGCCAATGACAACTGCAACCCGGGTGCCTGTAAAACCCGGCATCGTTATCACCAGCCTTGGTCGCCTGTTACTTCGTCATGGGTCCTTTGTCTGATCTTTCTTTACCTTCTGATCTTTCCCAAGCATGTGGTGTCTCCTCTAACCAATTTAACTCGTGGCCACTCCATCGGTGTAACCTGACATCCCCTCCCCAATCACATTCATGCTCCCGCCAACCATGCCCACCATCTCCTCAGCAAAAGGTACCACCAATCTTCCTAATCGGAACCATCATCCCACCAGTGCGTGGCCCCTTATTTCACTTGGCGGACCCCTCATGGCTCATCTCCCCTATCGACCACCGCATCACCGCAGTTAGTTGAACTTATCATTTTCCCAGTGGGACCCCTAGCCTTTCCCGTTGAGTCCCTCATTTCCCTAGTGGAACCCTCATCTTCCCAGACTGACCCCTACCTCTCCTGGTTGACTCCTATTCTCCCCAGTCGGACCCCTTCCCCTCCCCAGTTGAATTCCTTTCCTTCCTCAGCCGGCCTTATTACCTCCCTAGCGATCGAATCTGTCTCCCTTCCCAGACCTTTCTGCCCAGACCCCAGTTGGACTCCTTAGTCCTTATCTCCCCAATCCGCCTTTTTATCTCCCTCAGTTCAATCTTCCCCTTCGTCTTTATCCTTCCTTTCGGAACCCTCATCATTCCCAGCTTCACTTCCCCTGGGTTCTCCTCAGGCGAGGAGAGTTTCGAGGCGTCCGCGCTCGGTGACGCCGCAGAGGTAGTACAGGAGCGTATCTCTGACGACGAGCTCATCCTCATCAAGGGGTGAGTACCGATTACCCTCCCGTGGCGGCTGCTGGTGCGGTTTTCACGGTCCCCGCCGGCTGACTGGCGCTTATATTGACCACTCTGACTCACACTCGGGCGCGGGTAGACCGCGGCCGGTTGTCAGACACTCAATAACACACAAATACAAACACAGGCGGACGTGGGCACGCCCGCAGATGCTGGCAGGGATACACTGCGCCCGCCGGACCCGGGCGCTGTCACTCACACTTCACACTCGCGCGGCGGCCGGGCGCGGACGAGGTACGCTCGGGCGCGCCGCCCTCTCGGCCCGTCTGTCTGTCTGTCTGCGCGACACCTCATTGCGAGTCCGTCTCGGAGGCCGCTGTGACAATACCCTGCTCGGTTGGCCCTGCACACGGTGGCCGGTACCGCCACCGGCCACTCGCCAGTGTTTGTGCGCCCCTCGCGGCTCGCCACTCGCCACTGCACGGTTGTATCTCCCGCGCAGCGTTTGACTGGCTGGCTGTGGTGGCTGGCTGACTGCGGTGGCGGTGGTGGTGTCGATCGTCGGCGTCGGCGGCGACGGCGGCTCACTTGCCAAGCCCGCCGACCGTCTGTCGACACCGCCCCAGTGCGTCCAGTCGCTGTCCCTGTGGAAAGGAGGGAAGGGGCGTCAGTTGAGACTGGTCCGTCTGGTCCTGGGAATGGTAGGATGGTAGAGTGTGAGAGTCACCGAAGAGGACAATGGGTCTGTTCCAGCCGCACTTCCTAACACCTCTAAACTCCTCCAAGATTGCTTCCCTCTCCCAGTGGCAGCTCTAGCCCCTACAAAGCCAATGAGGGCCCTGCTCCAACCTCCTCTATCTTGCTCTTTGAGGAGTTTAGAGGTGTAAAGAATTGCGACTGGAACAGACCCAATCTGTCCCGGTAGCTAGCTGACCCATTTGCTGCCCGGCGACCGTCACACTTGACGTGTCCGCCTGCTATCGTCAGCTACCTGGTTTAAACCCGGGACCAGTGCAAACATAGCGCAGAATGACGCGATTCCCCTTCACTTTCGCACACGGTTCGGAACCGTGGGAGCCTTGGATGCGCATCGCTGCGGGTGAAAAACGACCACAGAATGCAGGTCTACACTTTGGTCATCTACTATCGATTGGAGCCTGGATCTTAGAGTGGGTGCTTACTCAGCTTCTTTACTGAGTGTAAACTAGCGGTTTCTGTCCACTTCCCGTGCACAGTAAAGATGTCAGACGGTGTATAGGGCTTTGGAGCGAGGACCGGCCACGGCTGGCGCTCGAGGCGGACACTTACCGCTGGACATTTGGGCGCGTTCGCTGGCGGTACGGGACTGCGGGCCGACCGTGATCCCGAGCCGGGCAGTGCTCTGAAACAGACGCAATAACAGAGCCCGGTCAGTTGTGCAGGTGTGCGCTAGAACGCCTGTCTCAACACCAGTCACCGCTCGTCGCCGCGTCCCTGACACGAAACCGCCTGTGAAACGCTCCCGTGTGAACAGCCTGCAGGTGAAAAACGGAAAGTGCGCGCGGCGCCCGGCTCCGGTGACGCGGCCGGCCGGAGGCGACCGCTAATGACGCGCTTGTCCGCGACATGTGGCGACCGGCCGCCGGCTGACTAAAGAGCGCTACGGTGACAGCAGCGCGTGCGTGACGGGCCGGGGGAGAAGATGCGTGTGATTGATGAGTAGGATCGCCGACAAGGTACTCACTTGTCGCGACATTTGAAGTTGGGCCCGCTGCGCGCTCCCGGTTTACATGTGTTGAGCAGCGGCACCTCGGCAAAGATCTGTCTCCGGAAGCGCCGTCGCCGGCGGCCCGCCTGGCCGGAGCGCTCGAACTTGGCCAGCTGCTCGGCGCTGACTCGCTCACTGTCGACAAACGTCACCTGGTCGACGTCTAACCGCGACCACGGAGCGAACTGCTGCGGCGGCGGCCGGCGCCGGCGCAGGCCCGGCCGCTGCTGGCGGCGCCGGCGCTGCCACAGCCAGCGGCCGCGCGCGGCTCCCGTGCGGCGCGCGTACTGCACGCGGCCCTGGCCCGGCGGCGGCAGGTAGGTGTCCTGCAGAGCGGGCACCGTGGGCGCCGGAGCCGTGGTGGTGGGGGTGTGCGCGCTGTGCCGGCCGCCAATATCCAACTCCTCGGACGGGTAACACTTGGCCTCGAGCCGCGTGGTGTCGAAACCCAGCACAAACCGGTAGTCGGTGCCGCAGGACTGAAACCGGGGAGCGGCGGGTCGTCAGAGGAGGGCTGCGGCCGCTCCCGTACACGGCGAGCGACACTGCAAAACGATGATGAGCTCTATCGGAATTAAGCGCTTCAAGGACTACGGAAGCGCTGTTTGGTCATGTTTGGTCATATCTGCGAATGCCTCTTTAGTCCCTGTTCAGTTAGCTCCCCAAAACCAGTCAACTAGTCTGCTCTGTCCTGTCTAGTCGGTATAGCGGTTTAAGGACGGTCTCGGTGCACGTCCAAGAGCGCCCTTCCCCACCCCGATCATACTCACATCTCCGAAGTTCTTACACCAGCCCTGGAAGGGCACCGGTCTCTCTTTGGGGCACACGGCCGGCTGGCACTCGAGTTTGAAGGCGGCGTTGAAGCGCAGCTGCTGTCGGTACGGACAGCCGACGGTGCTGTAGAGCGGCCGACACTCGCCGGCCGTGTCCACATACTCGCCGTCGGCGCAGCCGCAGCGCGGCTCGCCGAACGCCGTCACGTACACACGACGGTTGTCTGTCGGCACCGGCAGGCGGCGGTCATACAAGACACAGTGGCTGATTTTAGTCAGACAGTTCTTTGGAATCTGTGATATCGGGCAGTCATCGGTATTCTCCATAGTGAGCAACTTATGTGCGACAGTGCGACATGTGGCGACGGAACTGTATCTGAGCATGGAAGAGTGTGTGGTTGCTATTGCTCTGCCGCTGCTAGCAGCATGTGACACAGACGTTGGACAGCGACCTACCTGGACAGAGTCCCTCCTCCTGTAGGTCGTGGCACAGGCCGTCCCGCTCTACGAAGGCGAAGCCGGACGGACAGAGTCTGGGCGCGCACTCTCCCTGAGGAAAGAGCGGCGTCGAAACGGTCAGAGCCCAGAGGGACAAAGTAACGTCGAGACGATAGGTAGAGGGGCGGAGGGCGGACGCCAGTGTCAGAGGTCGACTCTACTGACAGAGGCAGACGTGACCAAAGTTCAACTTGTGTGATTGGTCGGTCATTAGCTGTCATCATTAGTGGTGTAAATTACTGTGCCACTCAGATTAACACGTATTTCAACTGGAGGTATATGCTCGCTTAGTTGACGCTAATTCGCTTTTAAGATTTGAATTATGACAAGGAAGGCAGTCAAAGGGACCGACAGCATTACTGTCACCTAGTAATGCCACATTTCCCTCACCACTCCTGATCTCTCCGCAGTGTGTACTACACCAGGCACCTGTACACCCATAAGCTATCACACGTGCCATACCTCACGACCGCGCGTCGAAGCACTCACCATGCGTGTGTACTTGTTGACGACCACCCACTGGCCTTCCGGACAGCAGCCTTGCTGTAGTATCGGCTGACACGGTTCGGACGCGATGTACCAACGGTTCGTCGACCGTAGGCGGACCTCGTCTCGCGCGCACCCGTCGTCAGGCAGGTCGTTCCCTGTGGCGGACCGGTCAGGTCAGGTCAGGGGCTATCAGGTCAGAGGTCAAAAGGTTTTCTATGACGACCTCCGCAAGTGAAATGTGAGTAGCACCGGTCCTCCTAACCGTGCTTTCAACACCGACAGTCACTTGCGGAAGTTTGCCGATGATTTACACGGCAATTAAGCTCTTCAGTAGTACTGTCGATGTCTGCAGGATTTGAGGATAATCCTCTAAGCGCGTGTCTAAATCAGTATCTGTGGAACGTACGCTCAATCTTATCCTCCCCGCCGTACGTGGCGCGTCAATAGACTCCACATCGCTTATGCAACTCGTCGTCTGGGCGACGGTACAAATTGGCTCAATGGACGCTAAGCCGCCGCCGGTCGGTCGGCTGCAGGACTGACACAGTGGCGTAACTGACCGGGCGTGTGGCTCGCGCTGGGGGCGACACGCTCGATCGGACTGTGGCGGAAACTTTCACCGGAATCCGCTGCAGTGCATCGCTCCTCGGCGGGGGTGCCGCGGCGTCACTGAACAATAGAGACGAGCTGCGTGGTCGCGCGAGGAATGCGTGGAGGCGGGGCGATGGGGATTGGTGACCGCGCAGGGGTATGGGGTGGGTTGAGATGGGATGAGAGCGGGAACGAGTCAAAGCCCCGGGGAGAGGTCGATGTTCCGTCATGCCTCCATGTCGATGCCGGTGATTCCACGCATGACCTTGGCGGGACCAGCTGTGCACTCGCTGTGCAGCGGCGTCGATGGGTGCCATACCTGCTCTCCTCTCCCTGTCACCTCTTTAACCGGCGTCTTCCCAACACCGAACTACTACCCCAATCAGCACCATTCACCTACCGGGAACTGGGAACCGGACGCCGGACCCGGGTCCGGACGCCGGCGCCGCCCCGACCGGACCGGGCCCGCTCATCAGAAGAAACCTCGTCAGAATTCACGTGCCATCGCGTCCGGGCACCGGCGAGATGGAAAGCAACAGTTAGTGTGCGGCTAATGAGAGGTACCGGGCCGGCGGCGCGGCGGCGCGCGGCCTATCGACAGCGGCGGGTGCGGCCTGTCGTCACCTGTGTCAGCGGGAACCGGTGTGGAGTCACCAGACGGGTAGGGAGAGGAAGGAGAGAAGTAGGGAGCCGGCGACGTCGACTGTCGCGCCGGGATGGAAATGGAAAAGGCTTGTAGGCGGAGATGAAGTTGTGTGTCGGTAGAGTTCTGCAGTGAGCGCGGCGGTAGTAACCCTGGATGACCTCACTGACCCAACACTGACCCTCGGTGGTCGACACTGACCCTCGGTGGTGGTTATCGCGTGGCGCGTGCTGCGGGGTTCACGGGTTGCGGACTGGTGCGATGGGTGCACTTTTATCACCCAGCGTTGATATATGAGTAGCTCCAGGTGCGAGCGGGATATAACGTGAGCGCCGCCGATGGCGCGACTGTCCAATTTGCGACTCAGATGCCTTTTTTCTACGAGGAGTCAGGGCTTCTTCTCGGGTCGACGGACTACCGCCGTCCGATTTATTATGATTCACGGCCTTTGCTCGTCTTCGGTAGCAGTCGTCCTCGTCTACCTTCGGGCACGGCCGAGGCCACTGACGGCTTCTGGTCGAGCTCCTGGACCGACCGGCCGGTGTCCACATGCCCTGAGACTGTGGCGACGGACGGCGAAAGTGACGGCCGCCGGCGGGGACACAGCGCGCCGCACGCGACGACCGTGGGCGCGGTCGTCGGTAGCGTCACCGCTCCGACGCCGCCGGCGCGGGGATGCTCGCCTGACGAACGTCGCGGCCGATTACAGGTCATTTGGACGGTGAAACCGACCGGGCGCTGTGTGTGTTGTTTGTGTGCTCTGACGTAAGTTTTGGACGCCGCGCTGGTACCCATGTAGCTGCCCCGATTCACGCTATCGTGACAGCACGCTGAATTGCGGACTCACCATATCCGCCAAACAGACCACTCGGTCTCCGCCGGAGAGCGCGGTGATTAAGGCCTCACAGGGCCGGGGTATGAATGGGCTAACCGTGGTAAGGATGCAATGCCACGCTTTTCGACTCCTAAACATTTCTTTTCCATCCATCCTTGCCGACCATTCCGGGGCGTCCGGGCGGTCAGGCCGCCACATCACTAACTGACAACTTTCGGGTGTGGTTTAGGGATTGGGCGGTCTCGGTCCTTCGACCGGTGGCGCAGGGTCGAGATCAGTGTCGAAACGAAAGGAGTCGTTGGTCTCGTTTTGGTCATCAAATGAGACGCTGAAAGACTTGCCTTTTTGGCAAATTTAATGGCGTTCTGAGACGCGGAGACATTCTATTTCGATACGCGTGTTTGGACATAACTGGACACTTTCTTGGGTCTCCTTTGATGGCCATTGCTGCATTCGCCAGTTAGTGAGGTCTTTCACTTCAGTGTGTTCTGGCAGCCAGTAATCTCTGATTGACCCGGAACCCGTAAAATTTCCCCCGAGCTATGCGTTACGTAAAAAGTAGTCGTTCTAAGCCGGCGCTGATGCGCACAAATCCACAGATGGACGTTCCGTTCACTGATATTACTGCACGTAACCGGCCAGAGATCCTAAGATGGTTCTTCCTTGGGTTGTGCAATGACTTTCGTCAACCCGTTATCGGTATGTTTGTAGCACTACTGCTGAGGAGGCCATTCGAGGAAACTATTTCGTTTATAGTATCGGCTTCCGTATTTGTAAATCCGCTCCCCGGAAAAGGTCAGTGAATATTAATGTTGGCCGAATTCATTTATAGGAGCAATGAGCATGCCTCCATATTTATCCGATTCCCTGAAAGGTCAGTAGAATATTGACAGAGAGAAATCACACGATTCCTCACGTATTCCGACAGTTCCGTGGTGAACGGTTTGTTTGTAGGTATGTTGACCGGCGTCCCCACCGGTGTAAGTGGAAAGCGGTCTGCAGGGGCGGCTGTGCTCGGGCCGGGTCCGTAGCCGAGGGTGCGGCCCTCCCCGTCTGTGGCACGTGCGCCCCCCCCCCCCCCCGCCGCGTCACTGGCGGGGACTCGGACCACGCCCAGCGCCGCACTGCCGTCTGTTCCGGGTCTGCGCTGTGCGGTCAGGGTCTGTCGCGGGCCCCTCCCTGCAGGGACATCTAAAGTCGATCGAGGACACCCGGCGCCACGCGGAGTCCCAATGTCTGGGTCTGAGGCATGACTCTCCCCCTCGCCTGCACGGCACCCTGTGCGGGTGAGGTTTCTGAAAGTGTCTGCATACCAGCCGGCCAAACATTGCACATTCGACCCACACTGGTCAGCGCAAGGGCCCCGGATGGGAAAGGCGGGAATAAACTCAGGGGCGAGTACCCTTGCTAAGGTGGCGGAGATAAACACTCTGGCGTTACTCACCGAGTACTGGGATGTCGTCCGGGATCAGCGGCAGGCTCCGGTTGGCCGGCGTCATGCCCATCGACCAGTTGATGGATGTGCCGGAGCTGGAGCTCAGCTGCGCCTCCAGGAAGCCGGTGACGGGCACGCCATAGTCGAGCTGTAGTTTGGGCACCTCGCTACCGTCGCCTCCCTTGCTGCCGCTGCCGCTGTCGCCGCTGCCTGCTTCCTTGGCGTACGAGTAGCCGTTGCCGCCGGGCAGCACGTAGGCGCTGTACGAGTCGTTGGTGCTGGGCGGCGGTAGCGGCGCGTCGGTCGGCGCCTTGGCGGCCGAGTGCGGCGCCGAGTGGCCGGTAGACTGGAGCGGCCGCGGAGGCGCGCCGTGTACCACCGTCGAGTGGTGGTGCACCTGGTGGCGCACCTGGGTGGGTGCGCTCCATCCGAACGGCCCCACCACGGCCAGGTAGCCATGCGGCGCCGGACCCAGCGCCGGCGGTGGCGCGCCGTACCGGGTCGGCACGTAGACGGCCTGGTGCGCTACATAAGCCGCCGCCGCGCCGCACACCAGCTGCGCGGCCAGCAGCAGCTGCGGCAGCGGGCTGGCCGCTGCTCTCCGCGCTGCGCTCATAGCTGGCCGCCGGTCTGAGGTGAGGCCATGCCTCGCGGCCGACCGCCGCTGTCGAGCCGTCACAGTCGCCAGCACGATAGTGCCTCTCCGGGCAGCTGAGTTCGCCGTGTCTTTACCGCCGTCGGCTCCGCGTCTGCGCGCGCCGGCCGCCCGCGGTGGACCCGCTGGTGAAGCCGTCGCTGCTGGTGCTGCTGGTGCCGGTCTAGCGGTGATGGTTGCTGGTGATGGAGCTCCCTGGCGTTGGTGATGTCTGGTGACCGCAGTGGTTGCGCTGCCGATGGCCTCACACGCACGCTCCGCAGTCGTTTGATCTGCCGGAAAGAATGGAAGATCAGAATGGCATTGTGGAGCTGACCACGTCTGACCAGTCAGCGCACGGCTCGGCCGTTCTATGGGGATTATCCGGGCTATACCACAGGCACCGGTTTGCCGCGGCGGCTGCCGGTGGTCGGCTGTGTCATCGCTGACAAACGCCATCAGTCAGTGGACCGCGGCGGGACAGGTCGGCTAGATCCCCGACCCCCGCGGGAAAGTCCCCTGACGGCGGGACTTCAGGCTTGAACAATGAGCAAGTCATGGAATGGACTGAAGGCCGTGCTGCGCTTTTGATATTCTGCTTCTCTTAGATGACACGACGGCCCGGAGCGGCCTCTGAGATTGAAATGTTACTATGGAAGGGGGCTGATCGCTGTTGAACGATCGAGGTTGCGGGGCTGCGCGGGACAGATACAGTGGTGGGGAGGGGAGGGGAGGGCGCCCCTCCCGGACGCCGAGCCGGCCAGGGGCGGGGAGGCCTGCTGTGTCACGGTCGTGGACAAGGAAGTGTGCAGGGGAGGGGTCAGCCGCGCCCTGGCCTCGGGCTATCGTCCCCGGCCACCGCCAGACCAAGGGCGAGACTGGTCACGGTGCCGGCCTTGGTGGCGGCCGCATTGTCGCGGGGTGCCGGCGGGTCGGCCACGGGGGCGCTGATTGTCCTCGGTATCGCCGTCGCTGCCGCTCCTGTCCTTCTCACTGCACCTTTTCCGAGCCTGAACGGCTGCCGCCGCTGCTCCCAGTCCGGCCCTCCCCACTACCCGTTTCCCAAAACTGGACTCTGCTACCGCCGCTGCCAGCGCCGGCTGTTCCGTTGCGTGCGCCGGATTCTGGCCGGACTGCTCTCCTGGCTCTCCGGGCGGCTGCCAGACTATCGCCATCTCAGCGACTGGGCAGTCGGGACCGCCCCATGGCGGCCGCACGCCACGCGGGCATGCAACGCGCCGCGCGGGCAGTGGACCGGGCGAGCAGGACGCAACAGAGACCGCTCTGTTGCGCTTCGCGCGGTGCTTGGCGCGGTGAGTCGGCAGAAAAGGAACTTCGGTCACACGAGACGGCGGTGGCGAGAGGTATGGCTGGCACGACGGCCTCCCATCGGAGAGACAAATCTGAGGACCGTGAAGTTTCATGACAGGATGTTTGGCGCACTAAAAAAGAAACTGGAAAAGGTTCCAGAAATATTTGTGAAATGTGAAGGACAACTCGCCGGTGGGCTGTTCTATCTGCCTAGGATAGTTTTGGAGTGGACCGAGTCATTTAGCGTTTGTCAGCAACGCATAGAAAAATAGAGTTATAAGAGATGCGTAAGAGCAGTTCTGATAAACAGTGAAATGAAATTCCAACGTTTACTGGAAAAAGGCTTCCTCAATCCTCACCCTAACATGGAACAGGCAGCATCCCTTTCAATGCATCCTCTTGGCGTTACTTTTTGTGGTTTCGGTCATGCAATGCTCATGCTGAAATAAACGTCTTACGCTCTCTATTTATTCAGCCATAAGCTGGTGTTAGCCGCGCCTTGTATTCGATTTATCTCGTGAGGGAGCTCTATCAGAGTTCCTTCGTATGCTATCCACGAAGTCAAACTGTACGTACCGCGCCTTACCGTGCCGTGCCGTATGTACCGTGCCTTGATCCTCACGGGTGCGCGGGTCTTAGTCTGCCATTCTGGCTCAATCTGCCACCATCGAACCTCTTTGAGTACAATTGGAGAAGCGCTACGTTCCGGATGATCTTGTGCGGATGGTTGCGATACCGGGCAGTGCGTGTCGAAAGAATGACACGGCTGGTAGTGGTGCATCGATTGCATCACTGTGTTATGTGACTGGTGGAATGCAGTGTTCAAACTGCTGGCTCATGACTACTGAACTGACAGCCGGCATATGTTCAATGTTGGTGCATGTGTACTACGTCAGTGATGATCTGGGGGAGATGTGCACCCTTCTGCATTCTAAAGAGACATGTTGCCATTTGAAAGATGATGAGATGACAGGTTACGTCTTACTGCCGAACGGCTTTAGTGACTTGAACGTTAGGAGCAGAGCCTACAGCTGTAGGAAACTGCTAGAATAGGAGCGTGTCCGCGCTTTGGGGCTGCGCTTCCACATGGGGAAAGCCGGGGCGGCGCGTGCTGGCCAGCCGCGTACAGACGGCCCCACCGGACACGGCCGTATAGACGGGACGGGTCAATTTGCATGCTGGCGCGCTGAGAGAAACCGGTCAACAGTGCGGCCGCTGGGCGGATGCCGCTCAGTTGCGCCACCCATTGACGGCCCGGTCGGCCGGTGTCCCCCGGGGTGGGTGCTTGCACTACGGTCGGGCACGGCCCGCGGCGGCCCCCGGGGCAGGCAGACGCGGCAGAGCACCGGTGGCGTTTACCGACCACGACCTGAGATGAGTGAGGACCAGCGCCGCCGCTGCCGGTCTGATGCCGCATTCCCGCCGGACTGCCGCCATGTCTGCGCTCCGCCGGCTGACGCCCCGATCGAGCCGTTTTTCTGGGTCAGCCGGGACCGTTTTCCGGAATGTGGCGGTGAGACGCTCCGCTGCGCTTCACTCTCACTGCTGCCGCCACTGAGAAGCGACCGGTCTCTCCCATGTCCCGCGCCCCTGTCCGATGTCCTGTTCCGACGCTTTTTGTCTCGCTTCCTCGTCTCACCCCCGTCCCGCGCCCTGCCCTCTTTTCCTGTCCGTCACCCCTGCACTGTACTATCCGGCGCTTCGTCCGGCCAGGCACCCCTCCAATTTCGACAGCGATAGCTGTACTGGGTGGCATCCGTCCGCAGGAACACGTCTGTGTTGCCTCCGTAGACACTGTTCGATAGCTGGTCAATGTTGGGGCGCATGGACGGTGTGGTTTCTCCCTACTTAAGTACGAAGTATATTGCAAGTGCATTATTCATGGAGATGTCCTTTGATTATGGGAATGAATAATTAAGCTGTATCACTTTCGCTAGATGTGGTGTCAACTGTCAGTTTACATTTTAATGATCGGTTTGTTGCCACAACCGCACAAAACTCAGTTGGACCTTTTCGTTTTAGCCATTGTCTCAGAAGTTGCTGTTTGTTTTCATTGTTAGTACGTGTTCAACGAATACGTTTGTTCGTTGAACTCCAAATCCCAGAAGAAAACTATAACTCAATTTAATGCTGATCTTTTATATGAGACTGCGGTGCCTATTATGCTCGACTAGTGCACGCATTCAATATGACTTTCCTGGTGTTTCATTATTTGTGCTGTCTTTTCGGTCGCAGTATTTTGATAAAGCAATCGTGTACTCTACAGAGCCTCAGAGCTTTCCTTACAAAGCCTATATTATTACTAAACATAGGTATATATGCTTATTTCAAAATCGCTGTTTTGACTGGGAATGCATTTTGTTGGCTTTCACGGCGTTGACTATAAATCTCATCCTCATTTTACCAGTGTTTGTTGACAAAATAAGTTCTTTTTTAACAACAACAGTTTGTATGCATTATGCATAGCTTCTGTTTCATTGCATGTCCAATGTCCATTTTTGTTGCAACGCTGACATTTTTATGTGCGTAGCCGAAGTCGTCGAAGTCGAAGTCGTGCAACGAAAAACACTAAGCCCAGATCCCTATTTTTATTTTTTTTTCGAATTTTTAGTTATTTTAGACAATATTTTGCTTTATTATATTATTTAATCATTACCTCAAGTAAGCACGTTTTGTTCCTGCCTCAAGCCCTTCAATGATCTTCATCGGCCTCCACCATCCTAACTGACCTGGTCCCGTGTCCGCTGTCCTACGTGTCCCGTGTCCGCTGGCGGACGTTTGACGGCTTGTCCGGCCGCCGTGCCGTATGCCTCACCTGTGGCCGTGTGCTGAGGCTACAGCGAGAGCTGGCTGCGTGCTGAGCTGAGCTGAGCTGGGTGCTGATCTGGGAGCTGAGCTGAGCTGAGCCGCGGCCTGGTACGCTCGCTCGGCGCGGCGGTCCACTGCCGACTGAAGAGCGCCGGTCGGCCGCCCTGCCGACGGCCGCCGCGCTGACGTCACGCGCAGTACGAGTGTTGGGTGCGCTGTTGCTGGTCTCCTGGGGCGGGTCTGCCGCCTTCCGGCCACCCCCGTCCGGCTTCCGCGTGTCCGTGTCACCGGCCGTACCCCCTGTCTGTCGTAAGGAGACGCCAGCGACAGCTCACGGCGGACACGCTCCACTGCCGAGCTCCGTCGGGGGTCGGTGTCACGAGAGGTGTCACGGCCGTGGTCGCCCCGTTTGTTGAACCGTCGGAGGCTGCCCCGTCCCGGCGGGTCCGTGGTGCGCCGTGTCCGCTCCCGGTGGAGCTGCTCTGTCGTCCGGCCGTCGTCGCTCATGTCAGGCGGCCACGGACAGCTCTGTTGATGAAGTTTCGGCGCTGTTTATGTGGTGCAGCTCCGCTCAGCCGGCTGATGGCGTGTTTACGTACTGTTGGTATCGTGCACCCGACCGGAACGCCATGAGAGCACTCGCAACAGGCAACGGCGCCGCCCGTCCCTGGAAACGCCCGTAGCGGCACCAGGAGGCTCCAGATGAGACTATGCAGATGATAGTATCGAAATTACCCATAGCAGTGTGAGAAATGATGGGGCTGTCGGTGATTGTTTCACTCCAGTCATTTTAGGTTGATTGAATCTGCGTTATCCGTGGTATTGCTGTTGAAAGTTTTACTGCCAACCTAATACATTGTGCTTGACCACGCTACTGACAGCAGTATGCATTCGCCTCGGCAGCCTTTTGTATGCTGTTCAAGGAGTTCACGTATGTAAAACAGCGGCTCACGCTTCCTTATTTAACAATTCACGTGATAGTCTAAATAAGCGCAAGGCCAACAACAGCCATTGTTTGTAATGAGACGACACGGAATTAAACTGAACGACACACACAGGCGCTACGATTCAACAATGGCTCCGAGCTTCCTACTTGGACGGACACCGGTGCGTTGTTGACCAAATTTGCAGGGGGCCATGCCACAGTGATGACTGGGTCACAATGTTTAACGCTTCTGACATGACCGGTTGGCAGTGGTAACTGGTGAACGCTGGGTGGCACGGTCCAATGGACTTTTTCAGGCACCGCGATGTTACTATTTAGAATGGTGGGAGCGATTATCATACGATTATCCAGTATTGGGCCTGTATCGTGGAATGAAAATGACCGTCATTTACGTTCCGCTGTATAAAGTTACCTCGATGTGATGCCTCGTTCGCGGTGGAACCTATACTTATTCGAATTACCTAGCGGCTTTCAAAAAGGAAAACGCGTTTGTTCTCGCCAGTTTAAGACCCAGTGTCGGCATTGGTGGTGCTCATAAAACTTTCACTTTTCAACTGGGTTCGCTGTGCCCGTCAATCTTCATACCTGTCCGCTGTCCACAGTCCCCTGTCCGCCGTTTTTGCCAAAGCCCGGGGCATGTCCATCACTGCGTGACGATTTTTCACAACGGAGCGGCCCCTTTTTCGCAATACTGTGGCCTGAGTCGCCCGGCACGATCGCGATCAATGAAACGTGATTCTACGGATGACGACCGTGGGATTGATTGACGAGGCTTGGCGAGGGTGGACTGAACTTTATGTGTCCGGGGTGTGCCTGTGATAGTAAGTTGGGACGGCGGACATTGCGCGGATTGGCGCTGTCGATAACGGTTTTTTTTCAACGTTTATTAATATAGCCACTTGACAAACAGACCGCTCTAACAGCCCGCTCACATCCACCTTCTACACAGTCCCACTCGATAACGGTTTTTGTCTGTCCCTGAAGATGACGATCAACTTCTGCAGTAGGGACGTGACAGAAAGGCGGTGACTGCTGTGTGCACAGTGCACACGTTTTAACTGGCGGCGGACTCGTTGAAACTGCATTTCCATTTGCCCACTGCTGTGTAAGCGCTAAGTATTTCGAATGACTGTTCACTGTTCAGTGTTCAGTCACGTAGGTCTAGAAAACAGTGAGTCGGCTGCGATATCATTTTGCTGTAGGTTATCCCAGATGATAAACTTTTTTAGATAATTATACCGGCAGCAGGGTGCTTGGCCTTTCCATTACCCTTCTGTGTGCGAAATGAAATTTGTGTGGCAAATAAGTTGATAACTGGTTTGGGCTATTGGTGAGACACGCTAAGTTAGGGTATGCGATGGTCTCATGCTGATGCATATTGTCACTGCTGTTGTCTCGACAAATGCATAGATCGTCAGTTTTATTGCCACATGCTCAATTTACAGTTGGACCACATGCCAACGTATTGGAACCATGCGGGAACAATTTCCGGTGAATATGCTTTGTAATATTTGCAAAAGCAACTTCCGCTCTTGCTTCTTAATAGTCAACAGTGACACACTGCAGCTAGTGGACGTGATTTGTGTGCAAAATCGTTTTTCACTTCTATTTATAGGCGACATTTTCCCGCGGACATTTGTCCCCAAACTATATCTGACCGCATGATTACTATGCTACTTAATATGGTTACGCCATTTGTCGTGTTGATAAACCCGCCTCATATTTATCCAGTTACGATGAGTGTTTGAAATTGTTGCTGCCGTTTTTAGGACTGCATCAATGTTGTGGCAAATGATGAATAATCAGCAGCTTTTACCAGCAAGCTTGATGGGGGATTAAGTCTCGCTAGAGATGGCGCAATTTCATTCGAGACGAATGATACGCGGCTGGCATTATTCATAAGGTGCGGTAAGCTAAGCTACCGTCTATGAGGAATTCGGATGTTTCGCTTCTTTGCTTTCTTTAGCTAACTTCCGTAACTTTCCTTTCGCGAACCCGGTCAATCACCATGGGGCGATTGGCGAGGTTTGTGTGTCGAGTTTATTAGCGAGGCCCCAGCGCTGCCCCGCGCGCAGGTGCTTGGCTGGATTGGTGTCCGTCGGTCCATTTTCTGTGTGTAATTTCCGCGTGCGCTGGCTCGTGCTGCGTCTGTGATGGATGCGTCAGGATACGGCGGAGGCGGCCTGACCTTCGGGTCACTGGCGCTGCTTCCTGCGCCGCCGCCGCCGCCGCCGCGGTGGTGGTCCCAGCTCCGCGAGACACGCGGCCGTGGCTGCGGCCCGTGGCATCGCGGCGGGACCTGCGCAGTGTGGGGCTAACAACTTAATCCGACACACGGTGCTTGGTTAACTTACTCGTGTTTTCTTTTCATTATGAACGTACCGTTCCCAGTGAACCAATGCATGCGCGTGTCTTCTTTAGATCTCGGGGATGCTGCGGAAATTGACTGTTTCGTTTGGTAGGGAATGCTAACTATTCCCACTCTTCCTTTCTCTTGTTTTCATATTACAATTTACGATGTTCACCACCCGCTCAATGCACGGTTTGTGCGTGGGCGGCGCCTCAGCAGCCCTGTGCGCCGACCTGTCCTGCGAGCACAGGCTCCAGGGTGCCGACTGTCGACCCCCGGCGGCGGCGGTGGGTCCGGCGGTGCCGGCGGCGCAGGGCGGGGCCGGCAGTCAAGGGCGGCAGCAGGTGTGGTTCGAGCCGCCCCCGCGCCGCCGCTGACCTCTACAGGGGCGTTCTCGTGCACGGCAGGAAGTCTTGTTAGTGCCTCCAGGACGGCTGGCAGCCGGCCTCGGCGCATTCCGAACCCCGATGGAGACAGAGATGTCGGCGGGAGCTGCACTGTTGGCTCGGCTTTGATTGATCTATCGAGGGCGGCGTCTCAAGGTCCTGCTCCCCACTGCCAGTGCGGATACCGTTCGTAAATGCAACGATAACAGCAGTGTTATGATAAAACATTGGTGCTATGCATGCCACGGACCGATATAGCATCCATGCTGTTCGCTATACAGATTTTAACTTCTAGCTGTGGATGGCGATTTGGTTCTCAGCGGCCTTCCTTATCACTGGTGGGCTTATTGATGCAACCTCAAATTAAGCATTTAGTCTTGGCGGTAATAAATCCTTAAAACATATCGGCGATCATACTATCCTGCTTCTTTTCAAAGCTTTACGTACACCAGGTAGAAAAACACGGAACAAATAGTGCATGGACGCGTTTCGATTATTAAATCTTCATCAGCATGACATAATCACAGAGAAAACAAGACATAGCTATATCTTGTTTTCTCTGTGATTATGTCATGCTGATGAAGATTTAATAATCGAAACGCGTCCATGCACTATTTGTTCCGTGTTTTTCTACTTGTCTCTATCAAAGTACACCAGGTAGTTGGCTTCGTTCAGAGTTCCGGCTATGACTTTTTCAAGGATGACGTCACCAGTCATGCCTGAGCACAGCTTATTTAGAATGGTTAATCATGATCGAATGGTAAATACAGGGCTGCCACTAAATGAAAAATACTATTTTACGCTCTACTTGTTAATCGGTCTTGTTCTCGGAGCAGTGAAGGTCGTCCTTGTATCCCAGATAATTTGTCTGCTCATGTCTCCCGCAAGCTGAAACTCCAGGAAGTCGCATTCCTCTGGGATGCTCGTTAGACCTTAACTAGCGCACTGGTACGTTGACAGTCCTTGCAAGCTTACTGTTTTCGCAAATCGGAATACTACTCATCGCGGTGCCCAAGAATGGTCGTTTTGCGAAGCCAATGGTATGCGACTAAGTGGCCGCTATTCCAGTTTGTTGCTAATGCATCGAAGGGATTAACGGAGCAGTTATCGAAATCCTGCGGCTGTTTTTGCGTATGACTTATGACCTTGGTGATTAGAGCGCCTCTGGCGGCACGGTCGCTGACGAAGCCCGTTTTCAGAGTGTAGTCCCAGCGCTCCGTCGATTGGAAGGTGGTTGCGCTGTGGGTGCCCTCCGGCGCTCCTCCGCCATCTCTGGTTCGCTCGTGGGTGTCATTGTGTCGGTCTTGTATCGGTCTCGGCGTCAGCCAGCACCACCGCCGGACGATTTCACCCAATACGGGAGAACCGGCGCCGGTGCCGTTTGTTTCGGTGCGTTTCACCGATGCATCTTATGGCCACAGGTGTGTTGGATTGTTCGCAGGCGCTGGAGGGGGAGCGGTG